TAAACGTAACAAGCAAACGAAAGAACAGCTAAAGTTGCGCGAGATACAAACGTAACAAGCAAATGAATGAACAGCCAAAGTTGCGCGAGATACAAACGTAACAAGCAAATGAAAGAACAGCTTAAGTTACGCGAGACACAAATGTAACGAGCAAATGAAAGAACAGCATAAGTTGCGAAAGATACAAAGGTAACAAGCAAACGAAAGAACAGCTAAAGTTGTGCGAGACACAAACGTAACAAGCAAACGGAAGAACAGCTAAGGTTGCGCGAGACACAAATGTAACAAGCAAACGAAAGAACAGCTAAGGTTGCGCGAGATACAAACGTAACAAGCAAACGAAAGAACAGCTAAGGTTGCGCGAGACACAAACGTAACAAGCAAACGAAAGAACAGCTAAAGTTGCGCGAGATACAAACGTAACAAGCAAACGAAAGAACAGCTAAAGTTGCACGAGATACAAACGTAACAAGCAAATGAAAGAACAGCCGGCTAAAGTTGCGCGAGATACAAACGTAACAAGCAAATGAAAGTACAACTTATGTTGCGCGAGATATGACCGTAAGAATCAAACGAAAGAACAGCTAAAGTTGCGCGAGATAAAAACGTAAGAAGCAAATGAAAGAAAAGCTAAAGTTGCGCGACATACAAACGTAACAAGCAAATGAAAGCACAACTTATGTGGCGCGAGATACGACCATAAGAATCAAACGAAAGAACAGCTAAAATTGCGCGAGATAAAAACGTAACAAGCAAATGAAAGAACAATTAAAGTTGTGCGAGATAAAAACGTAACAAGCAAACGAAAGAACAGCTTAAGTTGCGCGAGATACAAACATAACAAGCAAATGAAAGATTAATTAAAGTTGCGCAAGAATTTCCAGGATGCGCGCGAACCCGCGTTATTTTGACGGGAAAAGCGCAACAGCATCGACATCGTAAGACGACTTTTTTCCGACGTGATGTAATTGCAAAACGAATAACCAACATGTTAGCTGTCTTTTAGCTGGCTTAAGTTACAGCCGATGACAACAACAGGAGGTATTTTGCAAAAATTTGAATGAATTTTAATTAACCTTTACATACTTTCTCGAGAGCAAACTGCGAGACAAGAATTCAAAGCCCTCTCCTTAACCCAGTTTCTAGTGGTTTGCCTTTCATGTACCTACCGCTGAGAAATTTTTTCATTCACCTTCTGATCTCTTTCTCACTCGTTGTTCTTCGTGACTGACCCGGCTAACTTCAGATAAACGCCGATGCCCGTCGTGAGGTCGATTGCTCTCGGACAGGCGTCGCTGCGCAGTTTCCTCTTGACTTCGGTTGCTTGACGCTGAGTGTCGCCGATTTGAAGATCCTAAGATGAATAATGGAGAAGACTCACTTCCTAATTATTGAATACGAGATAATTTGGTTTGACCAACTAAGTTGGTAATGTGAATTGGACACCCTAAGGAGTTTAAAGGCTGACGTATCGAGCGTTAGCCCTTCGTCAGAGCGAATGGCGTAGGGCTAACGCTCGAAAGGTAAGCTTTTAAACTTGTTACGTTGACCAATTTACATCATCAACTCAGTTAATAGAACCAAATTATCATGTTGTACTCCTCCACCGACGCAGCATCACAGTTTCTTTAGAAACTTACACCCTTTACTATCTATATCCACGGATTTCAGAAAATTCTCTGTCGACAGTCGAAACCTTGATCTTGTCTAGCCGTGTTTTTAAGGCCCGGTCAAACGCACGCAACATTTCAATGCAACATCTTGCAAGATGGTTGCGCGCAACGTGTTGCATACGTTTGACCACCCGGTAGCATCATCTTGCAACATGTTGGATGGTCAGACATGGTTTGATACTACTCTGGTTTACAGATTTAATGAATGTAAACGAAGAAGTTACAATTCATAGACCCAACGTTTCGACACTCCTGTATAGTGCCTTCATCAGGGGTGATCTAAACGCTGCAACAAGAGGTCCTTTTATATGATCGCTAATCAGCGGCCTTTTTTCTGACGAGGTGTAAATTGGCGTCAGGAAGCAAACTGCCATCGTCACGATTTAAAGGAGCGTGGGCGGAGTTAATATGCCAAGCCTCCAAACAAAGGCGCTGGTGGTAACGCCGGTTAGTGGTTGGTGTAGGATTGGATGGAGTGGATGGTGTAGGATCAAGTTTGAAAGTGGTCAAAATTTTATTGCAACACTTTTGGATATTGCAAGATGTCGCGCTCGTTTGGCCAGCTCCTTCACAACATCTCACAACAAGATTCAACAATGTTTCAAGAGGTTGCGTTGAAATGCTGCATGCTGTTGATCGAGCCTTAAAACTGCCCTATAGACTCGATCCCTGCCACTTTTTCAGCCAATCAGATACGTACTCGAAGCCTGTCACGTGCACTTGTTTTGAATTCAAATTATCGAGATCTGGTGAATCTCATTTTTAAAGTTTTTGTAATTAAGCAAAAATTTGCATAGCTCAAAGAGCCACCTCACTGTAATTAGTTCAGACCGAACCAGACAGGACCAGAGAACACCTGCCCTATATAATTTTTTTTCCTATTTTGTTTTCTGTATTATAAGGACTCTAACTTACCCGCTCCAGGAAAGGTGCCGCTGCTTCTGCGGCGTCGAGGGAGATCTTCTGTATGGAACGGACCGCTCCCTGTTTAAAAACGAATGGAAGCTGAGCAAGCAATAAACATGTAAGATGCCATCAAAGCTGAAGAAGCCAGCAAAGTAAATTTTTCGCCAAAAACTTGAGAAATCTTTTAAACTTTTAGAGAATTTGAATATTGGAGCCAGAGATGAGAAATCGGGTCTAATACCTCTATAGTAACTTATAACACGACAAAACTGCTATGGTCGATCCTCTGTTTCACGAAAACGTTCGACGTGTACAGCAAAATTCAAGACTATAAACGATTTCTGAACAAAATACTGAATATTTTTCCGCAAGGCGCCGCACGGGCTTCAATTAAAAACATCGTTAAAGGTTCTTAACGAGGGCCTTAATGGCGTGAGAAAGGCCATAAAAAGCCTCGCGGTCCTGCACACGGACCTGCGAGCTACAGAATGCAAGAGTAAAGGAAAAAAGAAATAGAACGTTGGCCATACAGTAAAATATTTATTTATTTAGCTAGATCGGGCCGCGCTAGGAAATGCCTGACTCGAAGTCATAACGTTCGTACCTCATTACATCTGGTCCATTCGTCATCATTGATCGCTAACTATCTTCACGCCCGGCACAATATAAGCCAGGCAGTAAGATATTCTGACGAATGACGAATGACAAGAAAAAACTGCCTAGGATTCCTTTTATCACTTTTAGAGTCTCCCTATCAATTTCAATTTTAAGATAGATTTAATCCGGCCTTGGGTTAAACATACAGTAAAAAACCTCCTGTGGATTAGGAACTTGGCGACTCCTTGAAATCTCCGACTTTTCACATATGTAAGCTCTAAGGATGTTCAAATGCAGCTGAATGTACAATACGATGCTATCGGTTTAGGCTTCAGGCGCCTCAAATGTTTTGGATCAGGTTTTGGATCGCCTAATGTTTTCATGATCATGTGGGAAATGTCTTTGTGCATTTTGAAAGTCTTTTGCATTGCTAATCACTGACTAAATGAAGTAGGCGCTATCAGTTACTGTTACAGTTTTGATGCTACCCACCGATCTAGGATGTAGGATTCATAAGATATTAAAAGATCAACGAAAATTAAAATAATGAAATAAAACTCTTACCGTTCGGTATATTCTGTGACATCCTCGATCTTGAAAAACAAAGGCTTGTCACGAACAGAGTTGCAAATAATAAACTGGCTGAAAATGAAGCTGATTACCGACGTTCTGATGAATTTATTTATATTTTCCTGCACGGATGTGTAATTTGCATGAAGTCATGTTTTTGGAACATTTGTTTGAAAACCAGACGTGAGAAGAACCGAAAATCACAGAGATTTCCGCAATTAATGTTTAGAAGCTGTCATTTCGTTTCTGATTTGCTCCAAGATTCTTAGGGCGCGCAAATTTTTAATTAAGACAATTTAAAATCGGCTATCTAATTTCCGCAAGCCGCCTTATTTATTAAAAAAAAAAAAACGTCGTATAATCTAAGGACCATCATTTCGTAGACTTGAATCGACCATCACGGCGATACCGGGTAAACTGATATTTAAATTTAAAGAATTATTTCCAAGAGCAAAATATATAATCTCTTGCAGAGAAATTAGTATTTGTTCATTAATTCACACGTTACGTAAACAAAACTGAAGATTGGAAGTGATAATAATATTCCTTTCAGACTTGACTTTTTTTTAATTCTTTTCCTAATGACCTGTAATAAACTACAAAAGAATCAAGATTTTTCAATACATATATCCCGTGACATATCCTATAACAACTAGCAACGGTTAAAATAACTTGCGCGAACTTTTGTCTTTCAAAAACTGAGTGAAATTAGCCTTGCAGAGCCCTGCAGATGTTTCTACAGCGGGAGTTCAAGTTCTCTTAGCACCAGGCTTACGCCGCCAAAAAGGGGAAGTTGGTTTCCTCTCTACCACGCAAGTAACACTTCTATAGACCATTAGGAAAGTGACGGGGGAAGAGGTGTAGGGAAAATCAGAGAGGAAAAAGATAATCGCCCAGAAGAAGAGAGAAGAAAAGAAAACAACAGCAACAAAAAACAAAAATAACAACAAAGACAAAAAACTTTCATATTTCCCAATCCCCACTACACTTGTCACTTTTCAGTACTTTAACCCCCAAGATTTCATTAATAATTCTCCTTACTGTCTGCTACACAATTTATGTGATGTTAGTTTGGAGAATTTGGAATTGGATCAATCATATATGATATTTTTCTTTATTCTCATTACTTGTCTGCTTGATATCGTACCGATACTGTCAGGAGAAATTCTGTCTAGGTCACTGGTGGGACTTAAAGGGTTAACCAAACGATGCCCAAGTTGTCAAGATTACAACCCCACAAGATAACACAAAGACCTGTGTTCACGTTACGTGACTTTTATTAAACAACGATGACACAATTGTAGTTTTAATTTTTCCGACTAGTCCAAGACTAGAAGACTGGTTACGAAGGCTATCTGGGAGACTAACAGAACATTTGGACAAGAAGGAATTACGAACTTGCGGCAAAGGTAAAGACTCCAACCAAGCGAATGTAAGCAGAGACTAGCGCGGCAAAATACTCGCGCGTTCCAATCAAGAGTGGTCTTTTATCTGCTCTGACTGGCTTTAGAAACAACTAGTTCTGCTCTAATTGAACAATAACTCATACTCAACATTTATCCCAGCTACGCTACCCAAAACATTAATTTCTAGGAAACGAAATTTCTAGGAAAAATCATTGCTATCCCGCCGACACATTATTTCCAGCACAAAAAGTTCATACTTCAAACCTGTAAAACGAGCACATGTGACAGTTTGAAAATGAACTGAGCCCACTGTATTTTTAACACAGCTACACAGTATGCCGTCAAAACTCTCTGGTGACGTCAAGGCTTCCGGAGTACAAACGAAGATCCGAGCTTCTATCGATAAGCCCTGTATGTACAGAGTTGTTGTATAAAACTGCACTCGTTTTAAAGCCTTAGTGAGGAACGAGAAAGTTGATTTCATGATCCATTTGAAACGAAAGCATTTGACCAACCATTACGTTAGAATTGAGAGCGTTCTATAAAAGAGTTTAACAAATATTTATCGTCTCCAAAGTAGACTAAACATATACTGATCATAGGAGAGTTCGTTCAATTCCAGACGTTCCTACTTTTCAAGGAAAATGGCGGGCTACTTACAAACATGAATTTTTTTAAACATTTTCTGTACACGAAACCTAATAATACCTTAAATCAAATCAATGCAAGACAAAATAGAATCTGGACGAAAAATACAGAAAATGGCTTTTTGAAACTATGAAAGTAATATAGTTTTGAAACTATAAACAATTTAGATACCACACTATTAGAAAAATTCTGTAACATAAATAATTCTTTACTAAATATTATGTTTACTTTTACCATTATCAAAACAACCCTAAAAATCAGAATCAGCCATGATCTAAATTAGTTTTAAGCCAACTTGCTCATACAAACTGCTACAAACAAAAACCTATGTGGACATACCAAAAAACCTGATCAATAACCCGACTGCAAGAGAAAGGTTGACTAAAACTTATGAAGAATAAAAGCGCCTCGTTAAACCAGGGCTATTTTCAGGGGTTGGAAAATTAATGAAGGGTTCCCCACTGATATACCTTCCAATTCCTTTCTTTCAAGCCAATTGAAAAATTTTCATTTTAACTGCCACAGAAATTATTCCTTGTTGACCAGACTAATCTACAAGTACTTTTGAAAAGTAACTAACTTATCTTATTGACATTAGAACCCCTTCTACCTCATTCAATACGTTTATGGTTTCACTGCAATGCAAGCAGCGTTTTCTCTCTGCTGTTGTCAAAATGCAAAAATGTTATTAACTGATCAGCAGTGGCTGAAACAGAGTTCCTAGCAATTCTCATGAGCAAGTTGGTCTGTGGAGTTTGATACTAAAGTCTCAGTGGTGCTCATGAATTATGAGCCTGCTACTTCGGGATGCCTTCGCTGGCCGTTCTCCCGTTGCTGAAGAGTGACAAGCTTTTCAAAGCATGCATAACATACTCTGACTGGGTCGTAAAGCTGTTCGTCTGGCAGTGGTAATCTCTTCTCAGAACATGTACCACAAAACACTAGACCACAGTTCCTATACAAAACAATAATTGGCTGATAGAGACGTCCTTTACATTGCAAATCTACATATCATCAGAAAAAAATTACAACTGTGAGTGGCAAAGCCAAATAAGTGGTAATAACAACAGCTACTCAGGAGAAATGAGAAAATCACAGGGAGCCAAAGAGAACTCATAACAAAAAAGAAGCCATCTACCCAATGGACAGGAAAATGTTAACAAATAAGTCGTCTGATTGGTTGAGAGGGTAACAAAACCAAAACAATCCTGGATTACTTTTAACATTCGATTGAAAATTTCTCTAATGTGCTGATTGCATTCTCAGCAATAGTTTAGTATTCTTTCTCTCATCACCGAAATATCCCAGCTCCTGTATATTGTAAAAGAACTCTACTTTAATTTTCGGTGTGTTCAACTACAGTTAGCTGCAAAATGCATATTCAGAGACAAAACCTCCATAACTGTCACACATACCTACAATGATGTTTTCTGTTTGCCATCCAGAACTGTGTATCACACTTAGCACAGCTGGTGGCAGCATGATCTGGGACCCAAAGTGTGGGCTGAGCCTCATTCTCATCCACTTGGATCCAACTTCCCTCATCTGTACTGCCAAGGGAGGGAGGGGGTTGGTCCCCACTAACATTTGACTCTGGCAAAGAGCACTGTAGGTGAAGTAGATGGAAAATAAGAGTCAGATTATTTATCAAACAAAAATATATATACAACATTTGCTGAATAAATCAGATTTCAACTATGGCTCATTCAAATAGTGGGTATCACTCACTGTATTGGGCATAGAGCAGAAGCGTTTTGGCACATTGTAACATTCCCTCTGTTCTTACAGAATAAAGTTGGGAAGATTTATCTATATATTGAGGCATTTAATAAAACAATTTTTCAACTTGCACTTGTGGAATATGAGATGAATAAAGCCAACATAGCCCCTCTCCCCTGCTGGTTAAAATCATTTAGTAAGAACTAACTTTTAATAACAGATTCATGAAAGATTCATGGGAAGTTGATCTCTGAAGTTCCATTTCTTAGCTATACGTACCACTTCATCTGCAAGGTCGCTAGTCTGTCCAGAAGGACATGCACCTCTTTCTCCTACAGCAGGCCGCCCCCTCTGTGCATCCAAAACTTTTCTCCGTAATGACTCAATATTAGCTTGATGAGCCAGCTCAATCTGCCGTAGCCTGTCCTGGACTGGATCAGCAATGTGCGTCAAACCATCTACATCCAGGTACCCTGTAAAGAGCTCTGATAAACCTTGTCTTGATGTTTTCGTACTTGGTGACATTTCGTGGAAACTGTTGGTAAGTGTTGACTGACTAGATGAACTAGAGGATGGAAGCACAGTTTCTGTACAATCCTTTCTCTCTCCACCACAAGAAGTATCTGCAGCACATTTTGAATGGTCTGCTGTCAAATGCTTAGATTCATGAGATTCTTGTGGTTGCATATCACCCACAGAATTGATTTCACCAGCTGGGAAAACCTCTTCATCAGTCTCACTAGAAGAAAATTTTTCTGAGGAGGAGTTTTCTCCATCGCCACTGATAGCCTCATCATTTGGCTCAAGTATTACTGTAGCTGTACTACTGGACATGCTGTTTTCAATTTCACTGACACTGTCTTCACATGAAACAACTCCAGCTGCACAAGAGTCCGTTGTGCTAAGATACATACTTTTAGAATGACAAGACTCTGAGTCACTGATTTCCTTTGTTGTTGATTTACTTTCAGAAAGATTCTGTGATAAGGTTGTCCTACAGTTGTGACAACTCTTGGAATTGACATCTTTGTCTACACTTCCAAATTCATTGCTATCCTTTTGAAGTCCTTGCTGATTTTCAAAACAGTCTTTACATACTAGACTTTCATCATATTTTGACTCAGAGATGTGAGTGGTTGATAAGAGTCTTTCATCTTGCTCAATACTACTGGGAAATATAGGTGAGATAGGAGTAATGCATGCACTGCTCACAGAGTCCCCATAGTCACTGGTGTCGCCATTCTCCATACCAGACTCAGCATAAGGTGTGGGAAATGCTGTGTACACAGTTGACCACAACTGTAAGCTGCGTGGTTCGTGGGAGGCCTGAAGAACCTAAGTGATGGCAAATACAAATCATAATCAGTTACAAATTTCACTTGTGCCCCAAAATAAACCTATTTGATAGCCCCAAGAAAAACAGAGTACCCCTTTGACTGAAGCAGAGAAACTGCATTTTGAAACTTTTCTAAAAGATGGTTCTGGGAAATTACTTGGTTGATCAAAAATCTTCCACATAGCTGTCACTCTATATAGAAAAACACAAGCCCATAGCACATATCAAAAATATTAACTCAGGAGTTCACCTGTCCAGACAAAGAGGAGTATAAGTAGTTCTTAAACTCCTTTCTTCTCCAGTTTAGGAAAGACCACACTGGAAATGTTCGCCTGGGAATATTTCCTTTAAGACGTTCATTTTCGCTGTTGCAGAGGAAAGTTCCAAATAGACAGGAATAAGCATGGTGGGCCAACTTTACCTATGGAAAAGGTACATAATGGAAATATCCATTTAAACAGCATACAAAACAGATAAAACTACAGAATTTACACCAAGATCTGAAAAAAGTTGTTCATTCTGGAAAATGACAAAGTCATACAACTTCTCCTGACCATTCAAAACTTGAATACATCTTACTGGCTATTTCAACAATTCTTTTTTTAACTTCAGTACAGTAGAGGGAAAAATTCTCAACAGCACTTCAATATGTCACCACCATGCTGATGAAAAACATTTTTGACCCTCATTTACAGTAAAAGTCATTAATTTGCCAACCTGTATTCAGCAATCACATAGCATATTACAACATTTTCCTTTGTGTTTATAGCCTCAAGTTCAAATGAGATCAACATGTACAACATTACACATTAAATACTTCTTTCCATTTTGCTTCTCATTACCATTTTGTGATTTTTGGTTGCAAAATAGCAACTTTGGAAAAACTTGAGTACACACGAGTTCTAAAGAGAGCAATGTGTTAACCAGGAGCTGCAGATTTAACCTTACCAAAAAGGTTTCATTAAACTCAAACGAGCAAGGAAACTGCCTAGTGAGTTGGTGCACACAATCAAGCCATTGAAGAAACACAGGGCATCTTTGATTCTCATCATGATTGTGTCCATGACCACACCTATCCGCAAAACGATGGCCAAACTCCAACCACTCACGTGTGACCAACACCTGAAAGCCCTACATGGAAAGAAAACATCATCACATCAAAGAATACCCTTTGCAAAGTTCACCATGATATCAATTTTAAAGAAAAACAATAACCGCTCCATGAAAATTATGATTTAAATTGCAAGTAATTCCATACAGTGGGTAGCTAAACTCAATGCAGAATCTACACTGTAGAATTTTAAGGCAAGGCTTGTTTCAGGCAAGGCTTGTTTCAGGCATTGTTACTTAAATCTGCCAAATCTCATGCCTTTCAGTCAAATATTCTGTTTCCTCTTCCATTTTTGGCTATTACAGATTCTGTACTGCAATACTTTAAATAGTGGAGTTCAATGTTGACCTGAAGGCACTAATGTTACAAGCATAAGTAAAATTGAAATAGCTGTTTTTAAGAATATGAATGCCCATTCTTGTAATATTTGTTTCACTGTGTAAGTGCTTTCAAACTTATGAGTGGCAATCAAACCATCATCTTGAATTTGTATACCACAATCGAGTCCATAATCATGGGGGATTTTTTAGGGGTCTTCCTCTGCTTTGAGTCTGAATTCAACAAAATCTCTTCAAGGTTCAGTTTAAACTTGAGTGGTGCTTAATTCATAATTTCAACCTTTCAAAGCTTTTAATGAGTTAATGTTCTGACATCTTTTACCTCAATTGTTCTATAGTAGGGGTCCAACATCAGCTCTGCTAGAGCAACAATCTGAGTTGTTCTGTCCCAGCCATCGCTGCAGTGAACCACAACAGGTCTCTGTTCATTATGGATAGCATTCACAACAGTGTTGGTTGCCTTCAGCAAAAGTGAAATGTGGTGAAGCCAGTTCGTCTTTTCCAGACTGGACCACCAACTAAAGAATATGTAAATAAGTCAGTCAGATTTTACTGTTACATCAATGTCAACTAACAAATGACAGGAAAATATTGCATTAATCTTTCTTAACCCTTTCACCCCTAAGAGTGACTAGCATCTAATTTCTCTTGACAATATCACCCCTGAATCACACATTAGTGTCATGAGAATAAAGGAAATGATCACCAACTAAAGAGGCTTTTGATTGTTAGACAAATTCTCCTTGTCAGCACTTTCGTAAATGTACAGAGAACAGTAAGGAGAATATGAATACTGATGTTTGGATGCAGAGGATTAACCCTTTCACCCCTGCAATAAATAAACGTATAATTTCTCCAAACAATGTCACCCTTGAATCAAAAGTTAAGGTCATGAAAATAAAGGAAATGACCACCAATTTGAGAAGCTATGGATTGTAACACAAATTCTCCCTATGGTTCAACAGAAGTTGTCAAGAGAACAGTGTGGAGAATATGAATGCTACTGTTAGGATACAAAGGGCTAAATGCCTTACTTAGGGTTATCTCTTGAACCTGAGCATAATGTTCTTAGACTTTGGAAGCTCTTCCTTATAGCGTGGATGTTGGCCAAATTCATAAACAACACTTCGCAGCCTGGGTAGTACTCTATAGAAAAAGGGTAAAGTAAGAATATTATGAAACAAATAATAATCAATATAACAAAGTGTGGATAACAAATATATCACACAATTTATATTTATTAAGCTTGCTTTCTTCTAAAAACTATTTATTTTTACACTCAATTTTTATTTTAATAAGCACTGACAACAAATATGGTAACCAAAAATATATGATCTCACTCAAGGTATCCAAGATACTGAAAACAGTTCAATGATGATGTCTGATTGTGTAGATGACTTGACAAAGGAGTTCAAATGCAAATAATTGTCATTGAAAAAGTATCCTTGGAGGGTCTTTCAGCTGATGCATATTGACATGTTGGTGTAAATGAGACTATAACGCTTTACCTCCTACAGGTAATTGAAAAGTAAATTTTCATTAATGTGTTTATGCATTATTTAGCAAACACAAGATGAGAACACACTGTTATCAGCTGTTATCAATTCTCTTAACCCTTTAACTCCCAAGATCTGATTATTAATTCTCCCCTCTAGCTGCTACACATTTACTTGTAAATTACTCATGAGAATTTGGTGTTAGATCAAGATAACAACTTCTATTATTCTCATTACCTATTTGCTGGATAATGTCAGGATATTATAGGGAGAAGTTTCATGTTGATCACTTCTGGGAGTTATAGGGTTAAACAATCTACAGGAAAATGCAAAGAGGCAAGGAGGAAGAATTGCTGATCAAATCAAACTTACCCTCACACTCACAGCCTCCTCCCTTGGCCCTGTTGACCACTGCAGCTGTATAGGCCCTGGCATCCACTATCAGAACCTTGCGCTGTTCAATGACACTGTTTGCTGCAACATCCTTACCCTTATCATCATTGTCATTACCAGTACTATCATAAACTACATCTCCATTGGGAATGGCATCTGTGTGTCCATTTGTGTGATGATTCTTCACACCCATCTCTTTGATGAGTTGCTTCTTTAAAGAAGCAGACACTGAGTCTGTTGCACAAGCTTTTCCTAATGCATGCAGAAGGGTCTCATCCTCTTGACTTCGCCAACCAAACCAACCAACCTCTGGTTGACTACAGCGAGCTATAACAGCTCCATTAGTCATGTGCCTGTGGAGCAAAGATAAACATGAAATGCCTCTAAGTGAGATAACACACCCATTACCTCTGATTGAAATAAAATAGCTTAAACAGGGTTTCAAGTTCCCCTTTTCAAAAAGTTGCCTTTGGTAACCTTCATCTGTAAAATGGTCACCATAGAAAAACATTTGGCTGGGAAAAAAAAAAAAAAAAGAAAGAAGATAATCATATCAATAGGAGGATACTTCATGTTTGCGTTACCAGCATTTGGACATTTGATAATTTGACCAAACATCAACATATTTTACAGATTCTTATTTCAAAGCTGTTGGTCACCGATTGACGACTTTTGCTGAAATTTCAATCGCTAAATATATATTTCACTCACTGTAATGACCAAAACAGTTGCAACTTAGAGCACTCTAACAGCATGCAGATGAGAAATTTACTTTTATTCCAAGGTGAACAAACCATGATGTAGCTCCTACCCTTACCTCCACACAACAGACGGAAACCTATGGGATGTTCGAAACTTAGCTACAGCTTCCATATCTTTGTCAGTAATCATGGCTGGTACAATATGGAGTTTTGGATAAGTAGAACACAACCTGAAAAACAATGCAGGACCATCAAAAATTTGGAAGTAGGAAGGAAAATAAGAAATAATCAGTGGCCATGTTATTGTGGACATACTGTTTGTTCATTTGTGATTTCTACAACTTGAGAATAAATATTGTATGGGTTCACCAACCATGAAGTAATCTAAACTTATTAGAGTGCAAGAATACAGGAAACATTCCTCTTTCCAAATTAATATTGTTATGAAAAAAAGGGAAAAATTTAACTCACTCAAAGTTAGAGTTGATATCTGTGATCCTCCATGCATCATTATCAAAACCCATTCTTTTGACCTCTGACATAAATGAATACTGCACTTCATCTGGACAAAATGAAAGAATGACTTTCATTACTTCCAGAATTTAGAAAATTACAGCACAATTTTATTCAAAATATTCAATAATGCAGAGCTTCCATTATCCTGTTCTTTATATGCTCTCAAAATTTATTTGAGTTTTAAGTACACAAAAAGTCAGGGAGGTCAGACCTGGAATTCAATGGGTAACAAATCATGTCTGTGTTTCCTTATACCCCATACCACATACATCATACCACAGGTCTAGCATCTAGCTTCTTCTTGAAATTCCATCATGTTATCTTGCAAACAGGTAATGAGAACAAACAAGCTTATCTGCTTGAGGTTGTTCTTTGACATCAGAACATATAATTAAGAGGAAATGTATAGCAGTCAGTAGGATGAATCACTACTGAAATCTTGAGAATTACAGGGGTGAAGAACTGAAGATAGCAATAAGTACTACATTTGTCTTCCACAGAAAAATTCTCCAGATTGACAAAACTCGGCTTTGCACCTACCTTGCTCACAGAAACTGGTAAATTCATCCTTTTCTGCAGAGTTATAGTCCAAGCACCATGCGTAAAAGGCAAAGGCAAACAGATCTTCAAGTCGCGAGACAGGACAGATGAACTTGCTAAGACGGTTATACCAGTTTGTGCACTGTTCACTGTTGTCAAATAAAATCCTGTAGAAAATGCAATAAAGAGCAATCGGTAAACCTGGGGGATAACATCTCAGATACAAATCAAGTTCCAAACTTATAACAAGGAGGAACCACAAAATGCCAAGCCCTTCAACCCTTTATACCATAACATCAGTATGCACATTCTCCTTACTCTTCTCCACAAATCTCCTTAAGAAATGACTAGGAGAATTTGTTTATAATCAAGTAGTTCTTTTATTCTTGTGGCCTTAATTTGTGATTCAGGAATGATATTGTAAGGAAAAATTTAATGCTGGTCACTCTTGGGGGTCAAAGGGTTAAAATGTATTTTAATTGTATACATTTGAGTCCACTGGAACATTGGTATATGGTGGCAGGCACAAGAAATTTTTCATTTATAACAGGGTTTTTCCCTCATCTAACCCAATAAACAGGTGTGTATTAGGAAACATCTAAATCCCAGTCCTATGGTTCTATAAGAATTTAGGTTTGAAGTCCCGGATATTTCCATACTCTAGTCAGCTTAGGCCTTAAATCTTCCATTAAAAAATTACATCTATTACCCCATTTTATACCAGATCAAAGATCTCAGTTCAAAAATCAAGTTGAATGAATAACTTAGTAAAAAGCTTAGCTGCATTTGCTTTACCTTTACTACAACAATTAAAACATTCCATGACAAGAAAACATGCAGGAAATACCTGATATTACATGTATACGTGATCCTGAAAAATTATATTCAGCTCTACAATTGTACAAGAAATTTAAGGCATTGTCTCACCTATAAGACCTGGCATCCTTACAGTTGACATCCATCCAAAAAAGATCTTTCATTTCCAGAGACTCTATCAACCGCAAGGGAATCTGAAATAGAGAAGGACAAATCAGAGAATACCAAACTAGGAGAGACAAGTTCAAGACAGAATCAAGCTTTTTCATTATCAGACCAATAAAATGTATGTTCAGTTTAATGTTGTACCACTGAAATTGGAGGATTAAAAAAATCTGTTGCATGGATTCTGGAGTTTCAGTGATAAAACAAACGGAGTGAAAAGAAGTAATTTTGTTTGAAAACAAAATGAACTCATAGCCTGATTCTGTTGCTTTCATGCCTTTGTCTTTCTCTTTTCCCCAGTAGAAGTTGTTATACTAAACAATTATTCCACTATTATTCATCTCAGAGAAAAAAAAAAAATAATAAGAATTATAAGGTGGACAGTCAAGAGATCTGATATTCAGACCTGGGTAAAGAACAAAGATTAAAATTATCAGGACAAAATTGAAAACTTACATTCACAAACGAGTCTTTGAAACGAATAAAGAGACGAAAGTTGGAGAGAGTAAGCAAGGCATCAGATGTTTTCTCCAGATACTCCACACTTTCTCCACATAGTTCAGGAAATGGTATCTGAGCGGCATCTTCTATTGAAGAGAACAAATACATGTAGAGGGTTCAAAGAAGAAGGCAAATTGCTAAAACTTTTTTTTTCCTCTATTGTTTTGAAGGAGAGTGGGTGTTTAACTAGATCTAATAAGGCTTTCACTACATGGGAAAGCAAAAACAATAGCAAAAAAATTTAAATAAAAGTGAAAGATAGCAATATTACATTGTGTTTGAGAGCATTTTCGAGGAACATCTTGTGGCTTTCTGAGCAGAAGTGGAGATCGCCATCTTGCATTTCCCATTTGCAAAGCAAACTTTGATTGATTTGAATCAATGAATACAGATTTACTTTATCAGCTGCAAATTATGGCACCTCAATCCTCCCTTCAAACTTATTACTAATATAGAAAGTTAAAAACGTGAAATTTGAGATATGTGCATTGCCATCTTGAAATCCTTTATTTTAAATTATTAATTAAACGTAAATATAAACAGACAATTAACACAGTAGAGAATGTTCAAATTTGGAAACAAATAGTACAAACTAATCTGCTTGTGTTTTCAGAAGCTCAGTTATCAATTTGAACGTGCACAGACATGCACAATTGGAAAATGAAAACAAAAAGATTTGACACAATTTTATCACGGATGATAACCTTTCTGACTAAGGGGAATTAAAACGCGACCTCTTGACAACGGTACTACCTATTATTAGCTCGTCACTCCATATAAAATATTGACGTTGTATCATTTGTGGGGCATGATTTTTAAGTACTTTAGGACGTTTTTAATTTTCAACCAACACTTCAAATATCAAAATGTACTCCTCTCACCATAACAAAGTCAGAAGAAATTTAATGGTTCGTTAGTATACACCATGGCAATTGATAACAATTAATTTGACAGTCTTCAAGCGCTTGATGACTCGATCTGCTACAAGGAAACTAATTACGATTGACAAACCAAACCTGCGTCTCAGTCGAAATGTCCAGTTAGATTGCAAAGACGTTTATTTGGATGCAAGGTAAAATAGTAGATAAATGGAACGAGTTTAATCCGGCCCGAGCCAGTTTACAAGATAAGGCAAATAAAACGCCCGCGATGAGCTTATAAATCTGTAGTCTAGACGGAAATGGTGAAAACTATTTCCACATACCGCTTGGTTGGCAAATTTTAAACTCGCCATCGTGTTATGAATTCGTATAACTAACGAAGTAGATCTACAAAAAATTATGAACATCTTGGGTTGGAGATGACACAGCATGAAACTTGGCACTAACCTGAAGCGAGCGTCTTCTTCGGGAAGAGCTCACTTGCTTGCACGTAAACCATACTAGAGGGTTGTTCGGCTTGCTACAAATCGAAAATTGAAGGTTTGATCAGTTCCGCTAGTGAAAGTAAATCGACAACGTAAATTATGCGTTAACTACTCTTACCGCAGCCATCTCCTTCAGTGTTCTTCCAGGAAATCGCTTCGTGAAAACAATGAAGGAGCGTTATCCTATGAGCTACTGATGCTGGAATATGGCTACCTTCACGTCCTAAATTTGGACAGAAGAGCGAACTGATAACCCAACAAAAACAGCTTACAAATATCTTGAGTATCACTCACAACGACATCAACTGTTCGTGGTTGATTCATGCATGAATAAATCGTAAAATACTACATTATCATCCAAACCTCTTCCAAATTTTCCCTTGGAAGGTGTGGACGTCAACAGAACAAGAAATGAAAATAAATGATGTCATGATTAAGCAGCGATAAACCATAATATGCAACGACACCCTCCAAAATGACCAAATATGGTAGTGGTAGTAAATACGAGACAGAAGGGACACAGCCGGGGTATGTTAGCGGTGTTTCAAGCAAAAGCATGCGTTATTGGGGAGTAAAGATGGCGGCTGCGTGGAGTTACATATGAATTTGACATTGCAAAGTATTTCTCCAAATTCCACCAGTCTTTCTCAGAATTCTGATCAACTTTGTGGCCAAAAATGAAACGTAGAAGAACACGCACGCCATCAGATGCAGGTAGTCCTTCGCAGGAGAAGAGAGTGGTTACATCTCCAACCAGTTCGAAAACTGCAGCCGCTTCTGCTTCTACTACAACTAAAGATGGTACTTCTAAATCTTCAGATGGTCAACATGTTACGAACATAGAGGATACGGAGGTGGAGAAAAGAAGTGCTGCTGCTGATGTTGCTTCTTTTGAGAGAGGAACCGAGGAAATCAGAAAGCTTGTAGCAGAAATTCAGAAGCAAAAACTCGAGGTAAGATCTAGAAACTTAAAGGAGTCAAAAAGCGATCATTTTGTACAATGAATTGTTTAAACACAGGAACAACAGTTGATGGCATAGTGTGATCGGAAAGTTCCTGAAAAGAACTGTGGTTGGTAAGAGTGACTGACATTTCGTCTGAGAGAGGCTATCATTATCAGATTCAAATGAAACAACGTCCTTTTAGTTTGTCAAAAATCAGTCACGGTCATTGGCAGCATTTCTTTTCAGGACTACCCTCTTATGAGGATCACATTATGCAATGGACTGATCAAACTGTTCAGTTTGCTGCTTAGAAAATTGAGATTATGAAGACAAAATGATAATTCTCAAAAGGTTTTTAATGTCAGAAACTCAACTCCAGCCAAGATCCTCCAAGTTTTCAAGAATCAAGGATTGTGAATTAAGGATTAACTTCTGTTGACTGTCAACTTACATTTCAGTGGTACTGTATTGTTCACTTCTTTGATGCCAAAGAGTGACTAGCTTCTAATTTCTGCTTTAAAAATCACCCCTTAATCAATTAATTAATTAATCAAGCATTAAGGTTATGAGAATAAATGGAACAATCACCAATTAAAGAAGCTCTTGATTATTACACAAATTCTCCTTGTCACCACCTTAGGAAATGTATAGAGGACAGTTAGGAGAATTTACATACTGATGTAAGGGTGGAAAGGGTCAATACAGTCTACTTAAAAGTGAAGACCTTGAATGAATTAGGAGTGGCACACCTGCTTCTGTTCAAAACGGTTGCCATCATTATTTTTTGGAAGTCACCTTGTCCTTTGATTGGTTTATAGCTATACTCTTATAAAGCAAATTCAAAACATGGTTTTCTGACAAGCCTGATCATGGTTGGGTTTATGTTATGGTCTTTATCCTCAAACTAGTTCAGAGAGCTCTCTGCTGGCATTGTTGACACTGATGTTGAGAACAATAATGTGGAAATGTTTTTTTTTTTTTTTTCACTAGGATTCAGATGTCAGTGAGTCCAGGATAAGGTGCACTCTCCTGTTTACGATCTTGAAAAAAATCAACAGACTTGCACATATGCGATGTAAGAAAGCTAGAGAGAGAACTCAAGAGGTCTGTGAATGCTTAATAGTAAACTACTCTGCTTAAATTAATTAGGATTTCATTGTTAATTGAAATCATTTAAACCTGAAATCTTTAAAACTACAAGATGTATCTTGCACTATAGCAAAAAAAGCCAGTCAGATGGCTAGAGAGTTTCTCGAAGATCCTGTTACCTTCTAATTTTCCTACCAAAAGCAAAGTATACAGAGTGTGACTATTGTGCATCTGAAGCTGATCATAAACATGCAGCAGGTCCAACTAGATCATGAAAAATTTCCATGAATGCTAGAAACTAAAATATCCTCTGTGAAATTAATGCTGTTGGATGGCAGAAGTTTTGGAGACAATGACTTGTTTTCAGAACATCCAGTAGTATGAAAAAGGATATGAGCAAGTCAAAGAACTAATAAATCATTTATAAATAACTTGTCAGCAGAAGGTATATTTGTTCATCCATGCTGTTATCAAGCTTTTATTTTTTTCTATTCTTACTTTCAGTCTAAACAGAAAGTGGATAGTCTCCACCTGCAGTTACAGAACCTTCTCTATGAAGTGATGCACTTGAAAAAAGAAATAACAAAATGTCTTGAGTTCAAGTGAGTAAAGTGTTCTTTGAAAATGTTTTGAAAATTTCTTACCACCACACCCTCCTTTTGCATAATCATTTTGGCCTCATTTTGTGGTAGTGATGGTGAATTGGTTGCCTCACTGGACCCTGAATCAAGAGAGCCAAGACTTCAGCCCTTGCCAGGCGTTGTGTTGTGTTATTGGAAGAGGATTCACTTTCACAATACCTCTTTTAGTCAGGAGTATAGATGAGTCTTAGGAAACTACAATGGAAACTTTATAAATACTTGGAAGTCATCATATGGCATGACACCATATCCAGAAGTAGAAGGAATACTCTGTTTTGCTTCATGTCATTGAAATCACCAGGATGGGCTTTGGCAGTCATGGGTTACATGGCTGGGAAGGCCTGGTAGTAACCTTTCAGGCCAGTGCCTTTTCATTAACCCATGAAATTGGGGGATTTTTGCATACCTTTTGGGTTAAATATCTAAGCTGTGTTGTTATCTTTTGTGAGAAAATTAAGTTTAACTTACTTCTTTGCTTACACAGTACTGAAGGGTGCTGAAAATTGTTAACAGAAATGTGGTGAAATGCTTAGTTAACAGTTAGTGTACTTCCGTAAAGTCTCATTCAGTAAGAGTAGCTGTATTCTTACTTGCCTTGACAAATACAAAACCATCTGACTGTGCAAGAGGTTCTGACTAAAGGCAGACTTTAACCTTCTCTAGACTGAATAAATTTCTCTTTCTTTAAATGTTATTAGGTCAAAAGATGAAGAAATAGAGCTGGTGTCAGAAGCTGAATTTTTTAGAGATGCTCCAAATGAAATATCCAAACCTGTAAGTAAAGGATTTGGTTTAGGTTTTAGTTTTGCATCCAATTGGTGTATAGGGTGACAAAAGTTTTGTAGAAAAATCAAAAACTGATGTCAAGCAAAATTGATAATACTTTGTCACTCAATTGAAAAATGCTTCGTAGAAACCAGGTTTTTAGTCTAATTATACTCAGTGAATATTTATATTATCACCGATATGCATGGTATTTAGGCCAGTGAGTCTGGAAGTCCCACTGAAGTTAACAAATTAATTTTTAAGGATGTCACCAAAGGAGATTCTCATAAGTTGATGTTGGCAAGACTTGACTGGGAACTGGAGCAGAGGAAAAAGTAAGACTTACCCATAATCCTATAATTCCCAAAAGTGATTAACACTAAAACAACTTACATTGAAAAACAATATACCTGTAGAAAGGAGCGTTCAATTTTAAGTTTCTGAGTGATCTTTAACCTGCTAACTCCCAAGATCAAATTGTTAATTTCTCCCCTAGAGCTGCTACATATTTCCTTGTAAATTAGTAATGAGAATTTGGTGTTAGATCAAGATAACAACTTCTAACTGATAAGTTTGAATATTCTCATTACCTATTTGCTGGATAATGTAAGGATATTATAGGGGGAAGGTTTTTGTTGATCACTTTGGGAGTTAAAAAGTTAAAGCCATCATGAAAGGGATAAGGCAACAGAAGTAAGAAACAACATTTTTGGAACTGATACTTAATGAAAAGATTATTCCTACTGGCTTGTGATCTGCATGTGTAAAATGCATTTTTCTCTGTTTATGTAGGCCCTATGGCATTTGTGCATTCTTTTACATTGTCAACAAGTTTTGTAGTGTCTCTCTTTTGTCACCCTTCTGAGACTTTCAACTCATATCATTGTCTTTTCTACTAAATAAGTTGATTTCAGTGTTATGGTGCCACAGGGGAGTGAATTGGGGCTTATGAAACTCAGCTGGGTAGGTTCCAGGAGTGGCATTTTATCCCAGTTGAGGGTTTGTGGTTTCTACCTTGGGGTACCCCACTACCCTCCCTCCTTTTGGGATGTAGGCTTTACAGATTTTCTCTCTCTAGATATGACAACTGACTGCCTTTCCTTATACCTTTCCCTTCCTTTGCCATACTGTTTTATGTTTCAGGATAATTGTTTGAATTTCATACTTTGTTTCCCTTTTTTCTTACTTCAGATTGGCAGTACAAAAAGAACAGTTTCTGAAAAAGAAAGAAACACTTTTGAAAGAAATCCACACCAAGAAAGAATTCTTGGACAGTCTACAACCAAGACTAGAAAATATTTTAAAGGTACATGTAGCTGATGGACATTAATCACGAAAAAAATTAGAATGCTAAATTTTTCATTCTCTCAAGAATCTTCAAGGAATACTTTTTCATTTGATCTTCAGGCCACACAACCTGTTCAGGAGTACATGAACATGCCACTGGATGCTCAGCAAGCACAGCATGAAACAGCACGGTATCTCCCTCAATCGCTGTACATTCTGTATGTCCAAGCATCAGCTTACAATGAGGCATGTGATCCTCATTTGGAAGTCAAGATTCTTGGTGATTTAGATGTCGCCAAGGCTGCTATGGAAGCTAAACCTGCTGTTAGAGGTTTGTTTTCAACATGATGATTAGTAGTATTGTCAGTCTACCTCAAAGTTATTGCACAATTTTATGTGGAGTCACAGGTACATGTGTATTTTATGTTTGCAGAAATTGACAGTGATTCAGATCAGGAAAACACAGAGGGACACAAAAGGGTGCGAGTTCAGTACAGCGTATAATTATCCATATTTACAGTCTGATGTGTAGAGGGATTATGGCTTATTAATAACTTCTTACTAACTGAGTGTGAGGGCCGTACCAGGAAATATTAGCTTACGGTTGTGGCAGTACAAGGCCAGCAAGGTGTGTACAAAAATGATGGAGGGCCAATATTCCCTGGTATGGCACAAGCATTTCAGGTTAGTAAGTACTTTATTATATGACACACCACTCTACATGGCTTATGACCATTTCTGTGGAAATGGTCATAGGGAGGTCACCATGACAGCTGAGCCGCAACCTTCCAGGCACCTGTCAACACAACACGTACAAACCATTGTGTGGAGTGAACACTCATTCAAAATGCAGGGGAAGGAATAGAAACAAAGCAAGTAGAGTAGCAAAGCACATTTAGCAAAAGCATCTGGCTATGTCCTCAAAGCATTCCCTAAAACTCTCACAAAACATCGGTGAAACTGCTGTATTGACTTGGTTTTAACCTGTCCAAACTAGTCTTGTTTAAAAAATTTGTTATCATTGCTTGGTCACAGGAGGGCTTGTGATCTACCCTAATAGAAAAGAGAAGAGTGCCCTAAATCTTTTTCCTTTTTAGTCGAAGCATAGGAGAAAAAAGGAAGAGGCTCGTCTGGAGGAGAAAAGGAAATTGTTACTTAAGAAGCACCCTCTCCAAATCTTAATACAAGTAAAGTGTAAAGGTATGTTTTATGCATTGGCACTACATCCATTATTTCACAATAATAATTATTGTTATTCAGGATTACCACATGTGAGAGGGTTTTGTTACTGTTATTGAAAAAACAAAATGTTTCCACCAAACTGGATGAGAAGATTCTGACCATAGGGATGTGTGTAGTCCGAGGAAGACTGCGAACAATGGCTTGATTATTGTGAGGTTTTAATCTAGAGTGCAGAAGTATCCTAAAAACTGCTTCCACTCTTCTGGACTCTCCAGCAAGTTTGGATTTTGAAATAATTGATCTAGCGGTAGATCTAATTTGAATCATTTCCTTTTTCAGACAAAGCAACGCTTGATTTGTTATTCTCCTTTTTGCCAACATTCAACACTGTGGTGGTCTCACCATCACTGAATTTGAATGAAGCGGTATTGGAACCAGTGTTGGCAAATAGGTAAGCAATTAATTTGTGAAGTCTTATGAAATGGTGAAGATTGATTAAAAAGTGCTCCTTTGCTTGTAATCTCCTCTAACCAAGTGAACATACAATGTATTTCTCACAGATCTACAGGTGCAAATTGAGGGTTAAGTAATGTTAATTGTATCAAGTTGCACATACTCAGTTGCAGCATACAACTTTTGGTTATTTCCAGCCAACATGGAAACAGACCTTTACTGGTGTTTAATTGTCAAATGCATTTGTTTTTAGCACACTTCTTTCCCCTGATTCACTGCTAATCAATTTGTTTCCTGATGATGATGGAAACACGGCTCCAAACCCTTCCAGCTTGTATCAGCTTTCAAAAGTTGGGTGAGAAGGATTTTTTTTCTATTAGCATTAGGGTGTATCATATGGTTGTCTAAAGGCATAGGTGACTGTTGATATTACTGGATAAAAGTGGCTACTTGCCAAAAGTGATGTGCAAAAAAAAAATGGTTATGGGGGGTATGCTCTCAGTCTCCATCACAGCTAGAGAAGCTTAGTCTCAATCAACGAGTTGGCCACATCTTCTTAACTCTTAAAGCTTTGTTCCACCTGTATGCGTTCTTTTTTTTTTGTTATGCTTTTCCAAATTCGAACAGTTTTTCAAATTGTTTTGAAACTTAAGAAGGTGGGAGACATGGAAATATCCAGACAAACTGAACACTTTCGTTATCCTTTTGAATTTGCCTAGTTAAGTTTTTTTATTAATATTTTTTTCAATGCATTCTATAAAATAGTCTATTACCTTTCGTCAATAAGATTTGACCTGATTCTCTTTTTCAGAATGACTACTTTCACAGATTTTGTCCGCCTAGTGGGTAAACCTTACATGTGGGTTCAGCGGATTTGTGGACTGAACTTTTTGGCCAAGGAGCTACATGTAAGAGGATGTTACAATTTTTATTTATTTTTTTATGTTTCACAGCATTTTGAAACGTAGAATAAGCAGCGGTTTAAAAAGGGCGGTTTCTTCCGATTTACTTAAACGTGCACTGTGCATGGATGCTCTTCACTCAAATGGTTTACTGTTCACCTTTATTGCAGGAAGTTTTGCCAAAGTCGTCAGTTAGTTTGTCTCATATGGAAGCAACCATCAAAGCTATAAGAGCAAGAATCTTAGCCAGACTCGCTCTGCAACAACAACTGACCTCCCTTGGTAAGCTTGGATAAGAAAAACTTCTAATTTCGTGAGCGTAAGCGATATGTACTTGGAAATCTTTGTCGAGGCGTTCTTAAATGTTCCGAGTTTTATTATCCAATCAGAGATAAGCTCGAGCACTCGGGGGTACGTCGAAGACTCTCACATCGTCGGATACAAAATATTTTGCACGACACGTTTTTAGAGTTCGCTTTGGTAAACCAAGTCAATGCCGTTTGCAAACTCGATTCAACTGTTCTGTTTTAGTTCTATTTACACAGCTATGCGGTTGATAGTATTTCTGTCTTTCTATTTAAATTTTCAGAAAATTTGACGATTCCAGGAAATAAGAATTCTCTGCAGATGTTTCCTACCAAGATTTCAACCAAGTTGACCTCCTGGCAACCAGTAACGTTAGAAGAATTCCAGGTATGAGTATATTACCCTCTGGCGGCGACTATTAATCGGGCGATGTTCTCCAATATTATGCAGTCCAAGTATAATAAAGAAAATCTCTTTTACAGGAAAGACCAGAGCTCAAAAATCTTATTGAAGAAGGTTTCATTCAAGAAAGTGACATGCTCTTCCAAGCTGTGTTTGAAAGAAGCAAAGGTTAGCTTTTGTCGTTAATAAGGTTGTTGTTGTTATTCTTATTCTACGACTAATATCATGGTGTTTTTGTTTTTTTCAGTTCAACTGAAGGTCTCAGTGATTTTGTCCCAGGAGTATCCAACAACCCCGCCGCTTTTTTCCATAGCAGTGACGTGTGGGAAGACGGTGATAAGAGACAGCCTCACGAAGGTATACGTCAGATTTAATTTCCCTTGCAAGCCAGCATGAATTCCTGGATACCCCCTGCATGTAAGCATAATGCAAAAACTGTTGCTATGATTGTGCTTCTGAGTCTTGCTTTGTAATGTAACTTGTTTTTCAGGCGATTGAAGCGGAAGTGAATGTTTTCTACCCGGAACTAACAGAGCACGACTCTTCTTTAAATTTATTAGCCAATCAGCTTCGTCGCTTACAGGTTTGTAACACAACACATCCTCATGAGCGATTGTCTTCTATACAACACAAGTGCTCCACCCTCCCCTTCCCCCTCGTGCCTCTCCACTCTCCCCTTCTCTCTCGTACCTCTCTACTCTGCCCTTACCCCTTGTGCCTCTCTACTCTCCCCTTCCCCCTCGTGCCTTTCCACCTTCCCCCTCTCCTCCTGTCTATTACAACTGCCACAGTAAATAAGGGAATCGCCTCTCTCCTTGGATAAGATACGGGACAAGAACCAGGAGATTCTGGTTACCCCCTAAAAATTATTTTAGGCTTCCCTGCCAATTCACTAGTCCTCATTTATGCTCTTGGGCAGAGAGAGGCGAAAGTTAGGTGTCCTGTGCAAGAACAGTCCACGATGGTCCCGGGCTACAGGTATCGTTGATAAGTCAATGGAGTTACTGCATGATTGGCCGATAGAGGAAAGAAATCGTCGTTAGTCTCTTTTTGTAAGATGTGAGATCTGTGTTAATCCTTAATGAACTTTTATGTCAATGTCTCCAACACGTAAGAAACTTATTCAAAATAAAGTGGCTGACTTATTCAAAGTTTTCTTCTATTTGAAAAGTGCTATTGTACATGTTTAAATTATTAAAATCGATTTCCAGTCTGGAAATTATGATGATGCAGGAAAGGATTCCATTGAACATCTCGGTAGACTTTATTTAAAAGAAAAACTGACTGGAAAGATGATCTCCTGTGTGTGTAGAGTTCCTTTGAACAAACTTTTCTAGTTTTTTCTTGAATATGAAGTTTATCAAGATGATCATCGGAGTCCTTTTTCTTCTCTAGGATGGCTGATTACCTGATAATGTACCACTAATGTGTACTCAAGTGAAATTGCTATCATTCGTTGTATTTCACGTTTGAGTTACACAAAGCTTGTCCAGACTAATCGCACTATGTTACATCCTTTCAGATGTGTTTGGATATCTATCTGGAATGTGGAAGTCTGAACGACGTAGAAGGTGCAGAAACATTTGATCGCGAGAAGTTTTTTCTTCGCGTTAAAAAGTAAGTATTCAGTAGGCTGGCATTTCTGAACCAAATATTTGCGACAGTGACCTAGTTCCAATTCAATTTTTTTCTTTTCAGTATAGTTCCGAGGTAAAAGTAATGAACTTCATGAAAGATAAAACTTTGGGAACTGTGATTAGCTAACTAATTCTTTTTGGAAACGGGATCAAATCATTGGAAAACACACCTTTATGACAGTTTTATAATGACGTCTCCTTAAGGCAGAAAGTGTCCCTTTTCTGACGAATCTGACAAGATAGGATCTTTACTAAGACCGTTATTGTTTCCTTCTTATGAAGAAACCCGTTTCATTTTATGGGGGCCAACTTGTCGTGATGGAAGCGAATTGGTAAGGGAGCGAACTTGCAATGGGGCGAAACTTTCATGAACCTTACAAATGATCTGTCTGGACATCCCGGAAATTAATAAGTCCTTATGGGCTTTTTGCTATAAGGAAATTTCTAGGAGCACTACAATGATTCGAGATATCGTGTCTTGAATCCATAAGCAAGAGATACTTGTACGCTCAAAGAAATTATCTTGTTTTTTTGCTGAACCGTTTGCTGTATTTTCTCTGTAGGGGACGAGATCGCGGGTTACCTCTGAAGTACGACTCAACCCAAGGATTGTTCACCCAAAGATAGCGATACCTAAAGAACCAGGCTTTTGAAGGCTTCTAAACGTGTGTGCGGAGAGAATATCCTAGTTCTCTGGAAAACCATACATCGCGCTAGGACACAACTCGTCTGACGTGATCAGCATTCTACTTTTGTAATTTTAAATGGTCCTAGATTAAATTTTTACTTTGCAACAATTGAGTGGGATATTTTCTTTCTTTTTTTTTTGTTTATGTTCTAATCGTCAGTGTCGTTCTTTTAACCTTTTAACCCCTCGGGGTGACCAGTTTCTAATATCTCTATAATTTCCCTCTCTCCGTCGGAACTGTCCGACAATATACGAGACCCTGGGAAATTGGATTGGATTGCATGCACCTCTATTTTGATACCTCTACGGTGAAAGGGACCTTGGGAAGGAGAGAATCAACTAGCTAATCCACTCTTGCCGTGTCATTTCTTCTCCAGAAAGGACGAAAAATTTTACTTAACAAGGTTCAGATTGTCCATCGTGCTTGCCCCCACTCATAGCATTTCGCATCACGCTAACACTTTTAGGTTCAGTTCTAACGGACAGACTGGCTGAACAGCTCTGTCTGCCACTCACAGTAGAGAACGCCAAAGTTCTTGCAAACTCTCTAATATACAAGAAAATTTGGTTTTATCAACTGAGTTGCAAATTGGCCACCGTAAAGAGTTTCCAAGCTGACGTTTCAAGCGTTAGCCCTTTCGTCAAAGCGAATGGCGAAGAGCTAACGCTCGACACGTCAGCTTAGAAACTTTTTCGGATGCCAATTTACATTATCAACTCAGTTGATAAAATAAAATTATCTTGTGATACTTCCCCACCGACGCAGCACCACAGTCTGTTCAGAAACTTACCCTTTCTATTCTCTGAAATACATTTGTGCAGTGTCATTTGGACCCAGCTCCAATCATATCCGCTAAAGGGTTTGGATTTCGTTTTCAGGATGAGGTTTTGCAAGTACGATATACTATGGTAAATTTGAACCTCAGCTATTGAAAAGCTTTAAAATTCCCCGTGAAAGGCTTTTAACAAGACGTTTGCTCTTAATCAGTTCCGGTGTAAGTGATCCCAACGGGTTAGAATTATGAGTGGTCACTTTCTATTCAGGGAGTGGAAAGTATGGGTGCGACTGCTCTTGAGGAATAAGTTTTTTTTTTGGGCGTTTGTTCGCCACCTTGAGCGATTAGTAGATGAGCACAATTTCAAGCCACATAGCATAAACAGAACTTGCGAGAGAAGTAAATGGGGAGGAATGTGATTGAAACCGGATAATAGTATTCGTAAGACATCTTTTATGAAGGGGGTGATTAGTTCTTGAATGGTTCATTGTTAAGCATTCTCTCACACATTATGGTCCGGCTTAATCGGCTATCATATTTAATGTGTTCCTCTAACAGAACTTGAGTCGTTTGTTTTCGATCACTGTAATTATCTTTGCAAGCAAGGACTTCATCGTCTACTTGTTTACAACTCACGTCTTGCTGTCAATCACGCTACGTGACATAGGCATGTACACAAACAAACACGCAGCCTGCCAAATATGCATAAATTATGCATGTGTTAGTAAGTGAATGCACAGCTGAGTGTAAAGCAAACTCAATTATCATGCTGAAATTATTGCTTGTTTTGAAAGTTTAACTGCCTCATTTACTAATGGCATCGTCGAAGCTTCCCGTTACAAGTAGACTGTTACTACAGAATGGCTAAAAGAGGTTTTACTCCAAGCGCTTTTGCGTTGCCTGGTTTATCGAAGGACTCGAACAAGCCGTTTGGATTTTCTGTGGTGAGAGAAGATCATGGCTCTCGTTCCATTGCTAACGTGAATCGAGTTAGTGCAAAAGACAACTTGGAGGAATCTTCAAGTTTAGTTGATGAGTTAGGATCACTTTTGCCACCACAGACAGAATACACGCTCGAAAATTTGACAAAAACAAGGCCTCGCAGTCCAAGACGAAGATCACCTTCACCCTTGGCGCGAAGAAAAGAACTCGAAAACAACTCCAACTTTTCTTTTGATGTAAATAGTCCTCAAACTTCGATTAAAGACCATGTGGCTTTCTCAGATGAGCGTGTAAACGTGTTAAACGAAAAACCAAACCTTCCATCAGCGCTCATTCTTTCCAACGATGTAGGATTATCGATTTCGAGTAGAGAACTCTCTCAATCAAGATCTTCACCGCGACTTAGTGATAAGCCGCGAACAAATCGTCCCAAAGTGGCTCCGAAACCTGAAAGAAACAAAAATTACGAAAATGGAGAGCTCTTGACCGAGAGAACAGATCTTAACGTAGTTAGTGTGGTAGATGACCCCAAAATCCGGTTGGTGGATGAGGATCATCACAGAGGTGACAACGATCCACCTCCTCTTCCTACATCACCCCCGCCGTTAGAGGACGACGAGATTTTGGGTTCTTTAGCTTACGACACGCTAAACGAAGAAACAAAGCGATCATTTCCAATAAGTGGGTTTGAAAAAACGCAGTCAATTGACAGAACAACTGGCAAATTGTCAGCAAAGTTGGTGGATAATCCCCTTAAAAATGAAATTGAAGACAATGTATTGAATAATAGTAAGCAGTTAAGATCTGATACAGCCAGCAGTAATAACAGTCCTTCTTCAAGGATAGCAAAATGGCAGGGCTATGGAAGGACTTCTAGTGAAGATAACTATATTTTACCAAAGATTGGAGCTGGCTTTCCAAACAGACAGACCCCCTTAGATTCTGCCATTGCTTCACGACTGTCCAAATATGAGACGCCCTATAGTTCCAGACAGCGAAAACCTGTTGAAAAGACCTTGTCAGCAAACCGTCGACGATTCAAACCAGTCACATTAACAGATGAGGACAAGACAACAAATTCTGAGAACATTAAAGAAAATATTGACTCTTTGGTTAATGCAGAAAAAAAAACCAATCAGCCAATGTCAGTTGGTTTGCATGGTATGAAAACTGGAAAAAATGTCACCAATTCTTTACCAAGGAATTTCAGGGATGGAATTAGTGCTATAAGCCAGCCTCTGAGTTCATCTGAGAGTAATAGACAATATAATTTTCAAGGTAATAGTTTTGTGCAAGGAGAAAAAGCAAAATTAGATCTTGATGGCTTAGAAAAGCAATCAGTTACTGATAAAAATACTTATGATGAGAATTCTAGCCAGAAATCATGGTCATCAGACTCATATGGTGCAAGCAGGACTGCACATCAAGAACCTGATGTGGTTGTTGAATATGACAGCGGTAATGATGGCCTAGAAAAGTTTGATGACAGCAGTGGTAAGGGAACAGTGACATCTGTTGGATCAAAAATTAGAACTTCAAATGTAAATGATCCTAATGAATTCAAAATTGAAAGTAATATCAATGAGAATGAGGTGAGCAGGAGTGCTAATAATGACAGAAATAGAGCAGAAAAAGAACATGGAAGTTCAGGAATGACATTGCCAAAAGTTGTCATTGAATACGATGGGGAAGTTGTCAATGAGCCTTCAATTGATGGATATGACTCTGAGGAAACTTCTGATGAAGGTAAAAACCTGGTGTCATCTTCTTTCAGTCAACTTGAGGACTTGGATGATTTACATTATTCAGATAACATGTCTGATGGCTCTGTTAGTCTTTATGCTGATGAAGACGACATAGGAATCTTGGATTATACAGATGATGATGATGATGAATTAGATGTAACATTGAGGGATGAAGACCTCACTTTTGACAATCCTGTGAGAGAAGAAGCAGAGGAAACTAGAGGTTAGTGATTCTTTTATGCAGTATTTTTAGAATTCTTTTGTGAACTTGCTTCCATTTTAAAATTTTGGTTTCTTGGAAAGGAATTGCTGTACACAAATGATTTCTGAGATGAGTCTAATTATGCTGAGACACTGACCTCAGTACCTGAGTAGAAGGTCATTACAATTGAGAATGGGATTGTTTGGACTGGACTTCTTTGCTTTTGTCTGTAACTTGTACTGTTCCCTGTGTGACCCCTGGGCAACTACTGATGGCAGTGCATATAAACACCGCTGGACATGTGATTTAATTGTTTAGCTATGTGACTAGAATTTGGGCAGTGTGCTTATAATAGAGTTGAAATAAAGGGGAAAAAGCTATGACTCAAACCTATTAACCAATCCCCAAAGTGATTTTAAGGAAAAAATAATAGAAAGATTTAGAAGAGAAATCACGGGCATGATTTTAAGAAAAAATCTGATGTTTCTAGTTGTGGGCAAAGAAATAATTCAAGCTAGCATCTTGGATGGCTTTGAGAAAACTAAACCATAGTTTTGATTAACTATTTTGAGCCAGTCACTAATTGCAAAATACATGTCAAAAATCTTTACTACAAATAACTATGAAGTAATTGGAAATTATTTTGGTTTTTTACCCTTTTTATTGGAAATGTGACAACTGAACACTTTGAAACTTGTTATAAAATTGTTCAAAGAATGTCTCGAACTACAGACTTGTGTCAAAAAGAGTTTTGGATCAAAAATACTTATCCACTTTGTACTATGAATTGATTTACCTGTAGAGCTTATGAGTCATCTTACCTATGAACCTATGGATAATGCCCTTCAAATCTTTGTATTTTGTAACTGTAGTTGTGGTTGGTTTTTGTTTTCTTTCAAAAGCTTCACTCACATTGACCTGTTGGCTATGCAACTGCTTGAAAATTTTGCTGTCATGTGACATGAGACAAGAGACTTTTTGTCAGATCATTGTGCAATGTTAGTGGATCTTTGTGTTGGATAAGCTTCAATATCATGACAGAACTCACTGTTGCTTGTTTTAGCCATGAGACAAGAAAAGAATATTCTTTATTCATGAGCTTCAAATACTAGCCTTACAGGGTGATTGATGTATATTGAATCACTTTTGAGCTTTTAATTTGCACTGAACTGATATTGATTTTGTATTGATATTGGCTCGGTATCTTAAAAGTGCTTCTAAAATTACTAAGACATAGGCAATTAAGACTAATAAAGACATGCTAACAGTTCATTTTTCATTTGATAACTATCCTTACCATAGGTTAAAATTGATTTCAAAAGGTTTCTTCAAGTTTCCTGAACCTTGGAATTAACTTTGATCATTGCTAGCTTTTTTCTAGGGAATTCGAGAACAATAAGATTTAAAATATTGACTTGCAATAAAACCACATCTTCCACTCCCTGGAGTTTTTTTTCACCATATTTGTCAATTGTAGGATTAGTTCCTTTTCAAAGACATCCTACTCTTGATTGCACAATATGTTTTTTCCTTTAAATTCTATGAAATGTGGGAAAGACTGTAGAAGAACACACTGATTTTTGACAGTCATGTTTACGTTAGAGGTTGTTCAAAGACCCATGCAGTTTGTCATTGAGGTAGATGTTGGTGGTAAGTAGCTATTGACCTCAAGTAGGCAATTGAGCATTCAATACTGCCCATAATTCTCCATCTGTTGAATTGAATTTTAAATAATTTCTCTTTGTTCAAGTTATTTCCACAATAAATTTTGATGTGAAATTAATTGTTGAACAAATGTTGAATTATTGGTAAGAACAAGTGTGAGCAATTAATCATCTTTTTTATTAACACATTGAAAAGTGAAACATACACCCTTGTATTGATTATGATTCATCATTCTTGTGTCTTCTTCCTGTGGGAAGGCACTCTCTGTGTAAATATCAGTGTGTGAAATTTGTCAAGGATTACTAAGCAAGTTCTAGTCATTTTGTATGGAAAAATTATTTCTGTCAAACATTTTGTGGTGAAAAATGGATCCTTTAGAAGGTTTGTTGAAGTTGAAATTATATTGATGATAGAGAGGTGTAGAGAATTTGGGCCTCTTTGTGTCAACATGAGTTCAAAATACTTCATTTAAGTGTTCAAAATTTTTGAAATGGTTGCTTTGCCTTGTCATATGCCTTGTCATATTTTGAGCTACTTCTTTCGGGTGAGTACCTTTCTGTAAAAGAATTCTGCTGACAACCTTTTCGTATTTTGAATGTTCATCACTTCCTCTAATTTTTGTTTTTTAGTATTTTCTATCTTTTAAAAATGGATGAAGGATGTGTGTACAATGTTTGATTCGAAACTATTTGAAGAGGAATATAACATTTTGGTGCGACAGTTTTTGTTCAAGATAGTGTTTGTGGTTAGTTTCAGTCTTGTGGCATGGTATGAGAGGATTTATAAGTGAGAATATTGCATTTACTCTTAACCAAGACACATGTTAGTTTTTGCTTTGTTTGTTTCCAAAAATTTGGTATGTCTGTTGCAAAGCTTGGAAGTTTATCACATGGAAGGCAAACTGAATCATTTGATTGTAAAATAAATTTACAATTCACAGGTAATTGGTTTGGTAAAAGATAAAACTGTGCCCCTTTAGTATCCTTGCTTATTTGAGCACATGTATCACTAGTAGTATAAAGTCTATGTTCAGGGTTCTTAAATATATTACAGTATGTGACAATGTGATGGAACGTGATGCTAAAATGTTCTTAAACATATATTTTTACAATCAGATGTATTCTTATAATATTTGCTGATAAAGGGCCTTTGAAGACCCTTTTTCAGAGTATCAGTCACCAGACAGAACAAAATCAGGGATGGTATTGGAAAGAGTTTGTTGTAGGAAATTTATTGTACAAAAACGTTGGATTAAGCCTTTTTGATCATGCATCTAGACTTGCATTGTTGTAAAATTGTCATTCATCTGATGGATTTGCGTGGAAAGTAGCATGCATATGTTAAGATATCCTTGGAATATGGTCACACATTTTTAAGGTCAGACAGTTAGTATCGCCCATTTATACATTAATGCCAAGGGTTTTAGGAAATAGTTTGGAATGTTTAAATTTTTTACAGCCGTTACAACTATGTGATGTCTGGTTTGACTAATTGCATGACAATGTGTGTATTATTTCATGTGAAAGAAAATTAAATGTGTTATCATTGTTTACTTTATAACTTGGTACATAAAGTTGCTTCAAATGTGTAAATTTATGTGTTTTACTGACATGGCTTTTTCTCTCAAGTACTCAGAGGCTCTGAACTGGATGATGATGGCCTAATGGATCCACCATTGCAAATCATGACAGAGACATCAGAGTCAGAGGGAAGCGATGAAATTTTGTTTGAGCCTCCTCCTATGTTTGCCAGGTAGTTTATCAATGAATTTCACTTTTTTATTTTTTCATTTAATAATCCTTTTTCTTCTCAAGATCACCTCACAATCTCAAACTCTGAAGTACAGTTAGAGTCTTCTTTGAAATTGCAAGAAGATAAGGACTTATTTATAAATTCCAAATCAATATTCTTCAGTTAAAAGTCGTAAAGCACTTTGCTAACATTGGTTACTAAAAATTTTAAGGTTTGAGACCTTAAAAGTAACCTCATGCATTGAGGTTAATCAACTTTAGTTCTGTATTCCCTAAGTAGGGAATGTTAGATACAATTCAGATGTAATTCTGAGACGTTGTTCTACTGGTCATTACAGCATAATTAGAGACATCAAAAAAAATAAACAACAAAACAAAAAAACAAACAAAAGTAATAACACTAATGGCAGATTTGTTATTTTAAGCCTTTCACCCCCAAGATCTAATCAATAATTCTCCTTACTATCTGCTTTACAATTCTTACCATGTTAGTTTAGAGAATTTGGTATTGGATTGCCTGAAAATCCTGCGAATCACTATTTTTCTTTATTCTTGTCACTTGCCTGCTTGATTTTGCATTGCTACTGAAAAGTGAAATTCTCTGTTTGTCACTCATGGGAGTTAAAGGGCTCAATGTATAATTTAAACAGAGCAGAAATCTTAAACCAAATCAATGGAGATGTAAGTAAAAATTTGAAATGCATGCAGTATCTTTCTAAATCACATTGTTGTTTGTCATTATCGTTTTAGCTCTGATGAGGCAGAGGTAAAAGAAGAAGTAGAGGATTCAGATGTGTTTGAGAATGGATATGAAGGCGATTTGCCATCCCCTGTTATTCCCTCCTCTCTGTTAGAGGTACAGGTAAAAGAAAAGGGAGGTTAATGTGTGTTTTTCCCTGGTAATGAGAATACTCAAACTTAAACTCTTGTAACTTATTTACAAGGGAATAAGTTGAAGCTAGAAGGGAGAATTAACAATCGGATCTTAAGAGTTAAAAAGTGAATGCTGCATCTAAGGTCACTTAAGGATTCATTCCATACACCTCTTTTATTTCTGGCCCGGACATTTTGTCATGGTTTTGGTAAAGACAATTTTGTAATTTTTAACAGAGAAATCTTTTAATGAACATGCATTATGTGCCTGATCACTGAATAAGTGCAAAATGTTTTGAGACACATTGCTGAGACCTGATGATTCACTCCCAGTTTGTGACCCATTAGTAATTTATCCATACAGTATTGATACATTATCTACCAGAAAGGTAATGAGAGGAAAGAAAAATATTTGTAGGGGATACTGTTTGATTAACTCTAAATTATCAGAGCAAGATAAGAAAGAAATGAATGACAGAATTTCAAGAAACAACAGTTAGATCTTGGAAGTGAAAGGGTCATTTTTTTTTTCACAAAAACCTGTCATGATTCGTAATTTTTAATAGTAGTGAAAGAGTTCAAGATAACTTTACCCTTAAAGTACTGTCAAGTGAAGGTTCTTTGTGTTGTGCTTTCAGCCACAAGAAGATAAAAGATTTCACAACCTTGCTTTAGAGGTGTGGACGGAAGATGATTGTGTGGACTGGTTAGATTTTATTGGTTTGGGACATTTTGCAACAGAGTTCAGAGGTTTGTATGATTGCACAGTATTTGTTGTGCCAACCTTAATTGAAAGTTTTCAGTGAACATGATATCAAATGATGATTGGACAGTAATGGATCAAACCTAAAAATTAGAATTTGAACTATTACCTCCTCATATCAATAGTTACTTACAATTTTTAAGTTTTTCAGGGAACAGTTTTTTAAATGTCATTGCCTCAGAGACAGTCAAAATAACTTGTTCTTTTAAGTACATGGCAATCCCCATGATAAAAAGATTATTGTTTTTGCACAACTCGTTGAAACCAATGTTTAGCGAACACAACAGGTCTCTTCAAAATTGAATGTGTAATGAGTTTCTGCATGAAATTAAAACATTGTGTTTCTATTTATGTATTTTCAGAGCATCATGTGGATGGAAGAGTCTTAAAAAACATCAATTTCCAGTTACTTGGTTAGTATTTGACTCTGGTTTCTTTGAGGTGTAAACTCTTTAGTAGACTTTTGCTTTTAACCAACAGAAAACTGATGCAAAGAAGTTGTGCTAAAAAAGTAACTTTGAAATGAATGTTGTTTAATCTTTCATTCCAGAGGAGATTGGCATTAATTCTCCTGATGAGCGTGAAGTTATCCTCTCCGAGATATACAGACGTTTTCACCCTGAAGAAGAGGACATGTTTGAAATGGAGATTCAAGGTATGGTGCAAATGCAAATCGATTTGAAATAGATTTGATTCTAGGGGGAGAAGGGAGGGCTTTTATTGACTTAAGCAAGGTGCAGATAACTGAACAAAGAGGGTAAGTTTCTAAAGAAACTGTGGTGCTGCATCAGTGGGAGAGTATAACAAGGTAATTTAGTATTATCAACTGAGTTGATAACATAAATTAGCCACCGTAAAGAGTTTCAAAGCTGATGTTTAAAGTGTTAGCCCTTCATCAGAGCAAAGGACTAAGGGCTAATGCTCAAAATGTCAGCTTTTATACTCTCTAGGGTGGTCAATTTATGTTATCAACTTAGTTGATAATACTAAATTACCAAGGTGCGTGTAGCCTGTGATGCTCAAAACACTTATTTTTACTGCTGCAATGCAATTAATTTTCATTGTGAAGTACATGTAGTAGCTTTACAAGTGATGTGAGAGCAAAGTGTTCAAGAACAAAACACAACAACAGGGCTCAAATTTAGTCCTGTTTTTCCCACAATAGCCACAATAAGCATTTAAATTTGACATATATCAAAAGAAAGGTTAATAGAATGTGATCATTTTGTCTGACTAACAATTACTATTTTTCACAGGTGCTCTGCAGTCTGCCTCTGAGAAAGAGAAGATGAAAATTATGGCAGTCCTCAATGCTTTACGATCTCCAGCATTCCAAGCAGAACTTGGACTGGACACTTCCACAGGTTCTTCTTCACCTCACGGAAGTGAAGCAGGTTTTTATATGGGAGCAGAAACTGGGTCAATATCCAGTGGTGTCACAACAGGCAGTGAGGATCATTCTCAGGATATCAACATGCCTCCTCCACCGCCTCCACCCTCATGGTCACGAACAGCAAAGAAAACAAAAAGCTTGGGTAGAGAACTTGATGTAAGTTAAGATTTTATTTCTTATTGGAGTGTTGTTTTGTCAGAAACTAACTTACATCTCGCATATTGAGATATAAATGTAAAATTGAAGTTAATCAGTGTACGTACACAAGAAGATCAGTATTGAGTTTCCAATGGTTTTAGGTTCCCAATGGTGATGATTAACAAGATATTAATGATAATATTTGCATGTTCTTCAACCAAAGAATTGTGTTTTTGCTGGCTCAAAGCACCTGATTCCCCCTCTTGGGCCATCATAATTTCTCGAGGCAGTGTGAAGGTGTCATTTAAATCTGACAGTATCTTCCTAAACTCATACTTTATGGTGAATTTTGCGGATGTTGTATAACTTTTGTGGTGTATGTTTATGAGAGAAGGGTAGGGTTTGATAGAGACGTTACATACTTAAAGTGCTTGGTTGGTGACCAGCAGCTTGTTACAAGAAAGTCCTCGTTCCTTTTTCATTGATATAATTATCTTTTTTGTGATATTAACTGGAGCTTTTGTTATGCAGGACTATGAAATAATACCTAAGGGTGGGAAATCAAAGAAGCCTGGAAAGACCTCTAAAGACAAGGACAAGTCAGGAGAAAAAAGTTCAAAAAGTGAGAAGCATGGACGGAAGGAAAAGAAACACAAAAGGTATGAACTTATAATATTGAGGGAGTGATGGTGGAAAAAAAGTGTTATTCAGATAGTCCAGTTCAAGGTCTATGAATTGTTATGCTTTCTTTTGTGCCTAGTATTTATAATAGTGCCGTTATTATACCATACTTTTTTTTTTTAACCCTTTCTCTTCCAAGATGGCATCAATAATCAATAATTCTCCTTACTTTCTGTCATAAAATTCTTATGCTGTGAGTTTGGAGAATTTGGTATGGGATATTTTTTTTACTCTCATCACTTGTCTGCTTGATAATGTATTGCTATTGTAAGGAGAAATTATTTCTTGGTCTCTCATGGGAGTTAAAGGGTTACTGCGATGTCTTAAGGATTTCTAAACCAAGGGTGTAAGAGTAATTTTCATCTGCTTTTGTGCCCCTTGCCTCCTAGTTGTCTTTACGGATACTAGCTGATAAATCTGAAAATAAATGTAGCTTACAATAATCACTTCTGTTCATGCTATGGCTCAGTTCCCTCACCACAACTGCCATCAATCCACAGGGTGACAAGACTTCTGGACAGCTTATCTCTAAGCACAAGTTCGTCCAAGCTGACCAAGCTCTTCCACCACTCATCCTCGTCTTCCTCATCAGCGACAAAGAAACTCAATCCCACAATGCAGTATCTTCTGCAGGCTGGTCCCCAGGGATTGATTCGAATATGGCCGACAGCTCTCTCTGAGGAGATGAATTATTGCAGTTTCATGGTCAACATGACCACTACAAGTGCTGAGATTATCAAACTTGTCTTTGAGAAATACGAGTTAGTGGACGATCCACGGAGGTATTATGTTTGTGAAATGGGATTAGGAAAAGGAGGTAGGCCTTTTGAAATACTTTCTCAGTTTGTATTATTCTTTCCCTGGTTTGAAATGTGGATTGGAAAGAAAAAAAAGGAAAACTTTAAATATGTCAAAACACTTGTTAGAGGTGTCATTTTTAGTTTTAAATAACACTTCAAAGCTGATTTTTTGCACCACTTCATAAGAGTAGCATTTCTCCTTAATCTTTTCCATTCTCACATCGAGCTTTTGTTTTCCAAAGTTTACAGCATTGTCCGACACATAAATTGCCATACTGTGCAGTTTCATTCTGTGGACGGCATTATCCTCTTTTTGAGCAACCAGGATCTTGTCAAAAATCTTAGCTGATATTTTGTTGAATTGCTATCGCCCCTCTCCTCAGCAATATAATGTTTATTGTCATTAACATTAATGTAATCTGCCCATTTTCCTTTCAGGTTCACGCCATGATCTTACTGATGCAGATTGTCCTTTGTTACGTCAGTGTCGTTGGACTGATCCTGACAAACAGCGCTTTGAATTAAGGTGCAGAGATGAAGGAGTGATTAAGGTAAGATTGTTTTGACTTTTTCTCCTGCAGTGTGTGAGAGAAGTGGAGGCTTAATTGGTCGGACTTCATGGCAAACGGTCTGGGCTCAAACTCTAGTGGGCGGTCTTTGTAATGAGTTCTTGGGAAAGATATCTTGCACTAACAATACCTCTCTCAACTCGAGGTTGCAATTCTTTACAATACGTCCCTAAACTCGAAAGTTACAATACCGTACAATACCTCTCTCAACTCGAAGTTGCGATGCTTTACAATACCTCTCTCAACTCGAAGTTACAATATCTTAAAATACCTCTCTCAATTCAAAGTTACTATGCCTTACAATGCCTCTCTCAACTCGAAGTGACAATACCTTACAATACCGGAGCTTGTTTAACCTGTAGTTCTCTTTTATTGTCTCTGTGTTTTCTAGTTGTCTGTCCGGATAAGAAGGAAAATGTTTTTCATTCGGACGAATGTGGCGAGGGAAAATGAAAGTTTTACAATACCTTACAATACCTCTCTCAACTCAGTAGTATCGAGCCTAATTATTCTTTTGTGTTATCGGCTCAAGACGTATTGCACAGTTGATCTTCATATTTGCACGCCAATTATCGTATTAAATGGTTATTGACTAATTTAAAGAAAGCTTTTTCCCCTGTGTCAAGCAGAGGAAATTTAAAATTTTAAGGAAGCTTTTTCCCCTTTGAGTCAAATTCCAGACCTATTCGCGGGGCATTAAAATCACTTTTGTCACTGGTTTTTTTTCCGCTCAGCGGTGTAGATAGATTGTGCTATGCTCTTTTAATCTCATTAATTTCTCTGGTATTTTTTTTCAGATGTTGTTTGAACTCGAAGGGTACGAAGACGATTTAGACTACCGATCCATTCCCTTATCAGCCAAGACTCCATGTACAGAAGCGGTGGAACTGATTGTCAAGAAGTTTCAGTTGCCTGGGAAGGCTAACGAGTACTATTTGGTGGAAGTGTCTGAGGAATGTGAAGGTAAAGCTTTCTGTTTATCCATTTAAATGAAAAATTTTATTCCTAGAGGAACTAGCTTTCTGTTTGAAAGGCATAACCAAACTCCTTACTACCAAATTCAGCAGAAATATGTCGCAACGTTTGGCAATAGCTTAATATATTGATGTCATTTTGTGCAGATGATAGAGAGGAAGTAGCTGATCACGTATGCCCTCTGAGACTGCAAATGGCGTGGAGTGCACCCGATCACGTGTTCAGGCTTTGTAGACGACCAACAGATAGTTCAACTGATGTTAATGACGATAATAAAGATACAGTTGATGGATGGTAGGTGTAAAAAAAATCCTTTTACGAAGAAAGAGGCTAGAGTCCAAACGGCGTAGAAAATATATGTTAAACTTGTTAAGTAAACTTTAACATTCGGCTAAAATAAAGATGTCCACGTCAGTTTTCCAATGTCAAGGTTATTTGAAAGTTAAAAACGAAAAATATTTTGTACAGTAGGTACACCCTTTCACTTCGAAGTTCTAAATATCGATTCTGTGCATTATCTGCTACATATTTTCAACAATATTAGCCAGAGAATTCGGTATTGAATCGAACAAATGCGTTCGAGCTAATTTGTCCTTTTTTTCTCATCACCGTCCTGCTAAGAATGTATTGCTGTTGTAGGAACAAAATCCTCTTGAGAAAGATGTTTTTCGTCTTGTCACGAGCGTGACAAGACGAAAAACATCTTTCTCTGTTTCTTTACCGAGCTCGAAACTTACCATCTCTTTCATTTCTATCTAAAATCCTCTTGGTCACTCTTAAGAGCGAAAGGGTCAAAACGCCTGTTTTCTACTTGATAAGGTTTACCAACTTTTGAAAAGCAGACTTTTTTATTGACCCCGTACACCTTTAAATTAGTCTTCGTAATCTCCACACTGTTCTTGTTACATTTCCTATGGCACTGACAAGGAGAGTTTGTTTAAAAATCAGCAGCCTCTTTGGTTGGTGATCATTTTCTTTGTTCTCGTGACCTTTGAATTTGATTTAAGGGTGACACTGAAAGGAGAAATAAGAAGCCAGTCACTCATAAGAGTTAAAGAGTTGACGTGTGTTATGTATGCCTGTTGTATGTAGGATGACAGATGCTACTGAAGATGCCTCTCAAGAACCAGGCATTACCTCAGAAGTATCTTCGGTTCGTGATGAAGACGAGCTGAAGTTTGCACCTGTCCCAGGAAGTGTAGAAGGGAGCGAAATCAAGGAGGAAATCAGTGAGGATTTGATGGAGGGTTTGAACGAGCTGGATCAAGTCATCGATGAGGAATCCGAGGTGATCGCTTCTCAGGAGTTAGAGGCTGTCCGTCATGAGCTTGCCGCCAAAGAAGAGGAGTTGAAAGAGCTGCGTTTACGAAGTGACACGCTTAATGAGAGAGAGGACGAACTGATAAGCTTGCGGCGAGAGAATGAGGAACTCAAAATGCGAAGCGTAGCGCGCGGCAAGCTGTCAGACAAGGACGAGTCTTTGGTGGAGAAAGATCGTGCGTTGGACAAGCTTCGACAAGAGAATGAAGAATTGCGGAGAAGAATTGATGACCTCGAGGAAAAGCTTAAGAATGAAACGGCTATGCGGGATCGCGAAATAGAAAGGCTTTACGCTCGAAACAACGAACTTTCGTCCAACGAAAAGGAGCTGGAGAATTTAAGACAGTTACGCTATACGTGTGATTCTCAAGAAAAGGAACTGGAGAAGCTAAGACTTATTAATCAAGAGTCCAGCTCTGGTCAAAATGAGCTTGCTTCGAGACTTGCAGAACTGAAGCAAAAGCACAATGAATTGTTAATGGAGGTAAATGAAATGGAGAAATTGAAGCAAGTTAACCGAGAACTCACTCGCAAAGTTGACGAGGGCGATATGTTTCGACAGGAGTTGGAGAAAAGCCAAGCAGATAAGAAAGAGTTGGTTGAGAAGTTGAAGGAGTTAGAGCGCGAGAGAAGAGAATCCAAAAAAGGTGAAAACGACAGAGTGGAAAACTTGAGACAGAAAAACCTAGAGGTAGCAGCTAAGAGCAAGGACGCAGAGGAGATGAGAACAAATATTATCAAGTTGACCGCCCAGATGCGTGAAATGGAAAAACAGAGCCAAGAGAGGGCGAACAAGCTGCAGAAAGAGCTGGAGGATGCCGCTTCCGAGAAACAACAGCTGTTGGACAGGATAGCCGAGTTGGAAGAAAGCGAAAGGAGTCAGACTCAAAAGAAAGATGCGGAGAACAACGCAAAGGAGGTTGAGGATTTAAAACTCGAGAACATCTTCTTGGTTGAAAGGACGAAAGAAGTCGATGAACTGAAGTCAGCTTTGGCCAAACTAGCGGCAGAAGCCAAGGAAAACGAGTCCTTTAAACAGAAGTACAAAGAGCTTCGTGATGTGGAGACTGTAAGTATTGTTAAGATATCTAAGATGGTACGCGCGCTCTCGTTGGTCGAAAGGTGTGTTTAGATGAGAGTATGTGAACAGGCTTGTCACTCGTCGAATTATTTTCAAGAAATATTTTAAAAATGTAACAGAGGATATTTTCGTGTTTACGTAGCAATCGAGGAGTTAAGAGAATTCTCCAAAGGTATGCAAACCCGAAACGCAGTCGAGGATTTGTAGCACTTTCAAGAATTCAACCCCTTTCGTGTTTAAGTGAGGTTGTGTAAAAGTCTTTTAGTACCTAAATAGTGCGCATTTCGTTTGGGCGTTGTTAAACAAAAGCCAAAGTAATCACAACAGTCAATTAGAGCGGAGGTTAATATCTCAAGTAATCAATGTAAGGAACTCAAAGTCAACCCTAACATCAGTATCTATATTCTTCATACTCTTCCCCATACATCCCCTTTGGTACTGACAAGGAGAATTCGTTGAACAATCAAAGCTTCTCGGGTTGGCGATCATTTTCTTTATTCTCGTGACCTTAATGTTTGATTCAGTGGTGATATTGTAAAGAGAAGTTAGATGCTGGTCGCTCTTAGGGATCAAGGGGTTAAGCAAATCATCGGACTCGTTGTAAACTATTAAGGAGAAAAATTCCTGTTACACAATGACTAATCTCGCGCTTTTTATTGATCTTTTGTTATTTAGTTATTATCGTATTTGACTTGCGCAGAGCTCTGTTGTCTGTTCCTTGAGTTGTCAGGCCTTATGAGAAAGGATACGTGATTTTGCGAGCTTTCCACCTTACATCAATGTCCATAAATTTGTTTTATCTTTAACTGACTAATGAATCCTGTGTTCTTTCTTTCTTACCCAGTATTTAACCAAACAGGTAAGCACCGCAGAAACAATTGCTCGACAAAAGGACAAAAAGCTGAAGGAATCAGAAAACAAGATAAATACTTTGGTAAGTTAATGCAAGATTGGTTGTTATTGCAAGCGACGTTCTCAAGTTTATCTAGCGTATTGTGAGTGAAATTTCATGTGTGTTCTTCCCAATCAATGAATAGTTTGCGTTAAAATAGTAGCACAGGTTTAAGATCCCTTCTAAACTGGCGTAGTCCGGCGAACCTTCAAGACAAAGCCTTCTGCTGGAAATCTGCTGGAGCTTTGTTGATGTGACTTTGTTTAATGGTATTTGTGTTTGTGCAGACTGAAGCTGTAAAAGACATGGAAGCCAAGCTGGAGGAACATGAACAAAATAAGTTATACCTGGACCAGCTATTGGCCATGCTGAAGGACAGGGACCCCACCCTCTTGCACGTCATCAACACTTCGCTTGCGTCAAGGTATAGCCAATCAAAGTGAAGGAAAACATTGCAAGAAACCAATGAGAATTCAGTGTGAATATGAGCAAAGTGCTCGAAGCGCGGGAAAACGCGAGTGACTAAGTCGCGTTTGGTTTTAGTCTCGTATCTTACTGGCTTAGGATGTGGCGCGAGATTTTCTGATTGGTTCAGAAAGCTCGCCATCTCACGATCAGATGCAAACTGAAACAAATAGCGACTTCGTACTCGCGTTTTCCCGCGCTTCGAGGAGTTCTTGTTTTAACTTTGAGTTCCTGTTGGCTTCTTTTGATATATTTGATTTGCTCTGATTTTCCATTGTGATGTACTGTGATTTTGAATTTTACGACACTCAATCAAATTACGCTTCAGTATTGTTCCACTAAATTAATTAATGGGACTTGTTCTCTTATCTTCGATATCGCTCCGTCGACCTTTACTGTATTTTGTGGCATTTAGAAATTCAGTGAACCCTTAAACCCCTATGAGTGACTAGCGTCTAATTTCTCCCAACGATATCACCCCTGAATCAAACGTGAAGGTCATGAGAATTAAGGAGATGATCATCAACTAAGGAAGCTCTTGATTGTTAAACAAATTCTCCTTGATAGCATCTTAAGAAATGTATGAAGAACAGTATGAAGAGTATGCGTACAGATGTTAGGGTCTAAAGGGTTAAAGTGTATTCGAAACGTTTGTGTTGTTGTTTTTTTTTGTAGTGAACAAGAGGAATGGTGCTGAATGATGGAGTTGTTTCTGCAGTTCTTTAGATTGCCTCTTATGGCACGAACCGGATTAGTGTTTTTGAAGTTTACCGTCGAGATGCCATACACAGATCTGTTGCTGTTAGATAGTTTCAAAACATCAGGTTAGGTCAGATAGTTACGTAAGTTACTTACATTTTGAGGAGCTTATGTAATGTTGATTCAGATTAGTTTAAAGGATGATCAGTACTAAACACACCCGTTTTTAAACGTTTTTTTGATATTAAAGAGGAGAATTAGCTTAATTTATCGGTAGGATGTCGAGACATTTGTGGAGGAAACATACTGTCTCAAAAAGCCTCCGTGGCAGTGAATTTTTTCAACGAAAATGCCATTGGATTCTTAGATCTAGATTCGTCTTCTATTTGATTTGCATCCTAAAATTTTACACGACATCGTTTTTAACAAAACGCAACTGGTGAACTATTAAGTAAATATATTACAAAGAGAAAACATATTTTTAAAAATACATATTTAAGGAAAACATCAGTGCCTTTCACAATAAAAGGTTATCCTCGTTCATCTCGGATTTCCAGAGGGAGGGGAGGGTATCCAAAAAACATTTATAGACAACAAATACTCTGAATAGAGAAAGCAATAGCCAGAAAAATACTTCAAAGTTAATACTCTTATCAGTTAGAGGTACGGCCGACCGGAAAGCTCAGCTGTGAAATTTTCAGTGCCGCTCACCACAGCTCCATAACAAGGAAACATATCGGCTGATTATCGAAATGCAAACCAGCGCGAAAACAGTTGCAGTGGTGTTATTACGTCCCATTGGTTACACAGTTTGTTCAGAATCTGTGAGAAGGCAGCCCATGAGAAAATTGAGAAAATAAAGGAAGAAAAATCACAGAATTCTCTGTCAGAGCCGATGCTTACTCGTCGTTTTCAAACACTGGTATAAAGGTGTTTTGAAAAGTTTAGTTAATACGGATTGAAATTAAGACTAATTTTTTTAGTTAATTATACAACAAATTTTAGTCATTCTTTTTTAAAGATTTTTTAGAGTGTTATATGAAGATAGCGATACGCCTATGTTATGGGTCACATTAGAAGGTTTTTAAAGAAGTCATATTTTAATGTAATAAAGGTCTCGCGTGGAGATCATATCAAGTAATTGTACACCAATTAAACAAAGAGAATATTTTGTATTTAACTCTTGCAAAATGTGTGATTTTGAATGATTTTGTTTCTTATTTTCATCGTTTATCAGTGCCATACGAGCAGAGAAAATTTTATCGACCTTCTAGGTTCGCAGAACGTGACATGGTTGAGCCTTGTCCAGGGTCATTGTGCCCTGCCCCCCTCCTCCCCCTCCACCAGTCTTTTATGCGGCTCGGTTCCTGCAGCTTCACACACGAAAAATGGGCTGACAATAGAAAGCTGGTTGACTCAATCGGAAAAAAAAATATCATCTTAACAGACGTCAACAACCATCAGCACCATACAATCGACTCATTCACGAACCTAACCGAACGACCAAACTTTACCGACAGATCGAAACCGGCTGACCAATCATATATAGCGTGTATAAGCCGAGTCCAAGCTTTTAGCATCTCGGCAAAAGTAACCTAGTCGTTTTCACGAACCAGACGCGAAAAATTCTACTGATGTACTTTGCTCTGAAAACAGCTCAAAGTCTGTGCAGATTGTCGAAATTCTAGTCTCTGTCACCAACAACAACCTTGGGATGCTGTGCGGCATTACTCTAGCTAACCTTTGGAAAACTTGAAGAGAAACAAATTATCGGAAGCGCAGTTGTGTTTAAAAGAGGGTGTTGATTAGTGTATTTGTTTCTGTGTGTAAACTAATTCCCAGTTAACTCTCGGCGGAACGGAATGTTTTGACAGTTGATTTGAGCACATAATTTACCCTCTGTTCTAATTTTGAGATACCAAGAAATCAATAGAGGAGGAAAAAATGATTGCATTGTAAACTCTGTTTATTGAAGAGTGTGGCTCTTTTAGAAAACTCCATTATCAAGCTGTTGTCATCAAGTTAGTCAAATAGTTGAACTTATTTTTTTAATTAAGCTGACAGAAAAAGATGTCATGCTGAAAGCTGTTGATCTGCTTTCTTGATTAATTCTACCTTGAGACGATATCGATCAAAATTTCCTTAGACCGTCATGTTCTCTTACAGATAATAGATATTAAGAAATCCTTTCCATTAAGACTTGAGAGGTTTCTAAACTCAAAAGCCAAACTCAAGTTAATAAACACCGAATCAGGTCTCCCAAAAGTGCAAACAAATGATGCTATAAATGACATCTAAGAGATGAGTTTTTAAACAACGTGTCGATGTTCCTTGAAACATTTCCACAATTGGATGATAAAGCGGAATTTACTTATGACCGAGGACAGTTTTTACTATTACTCTGAGTGCATCACTGATCAGAAGCTTCGATTTTCAAATATATTGGGCTCATTATTAAATTTTAATAATTACATTACACCTGCCGGAATTCTTCGTGTTTGCTCTGCTACCAGAACTTTATTTGTATGTAAATTAATTTTTTTAGTCCGCAAACCAATTTCAGCAACAAGAACAGCTGATTGAGGCTTTAAATTTTCAAACTGACTCAAATTTTCAACTTTTGTGTGATCTAATTTTTCAAATCAAACCTAAACGAGCCTGAACAACTAGAAGTTTTAACTGATAAAATCCCTAAATAACAATGTCTGCTGTACAGCAACTGATATCCGGTTGTACGGGAAGTTAAATTTTATAACGTCAAGTCGAACCTCAATTTAAAAGGCTCACACCGTTTAACTTGACACTTTGTTCGTTCAGTGTTTGCACACATCTCATTATTTCTGTTAGCCGTTCTTATGTACGCATAGATGCCGCGGAAAACGGAAACGAACGACATGTAGGGAGTGCATTTGAACAGGAGCCAAACATTAGAGCAAAACATTTTGGCCTTTGATTCAAACTTCTTTAGAACATTTACTGCGAAAGGTACTCCTCAGTAAGGTGTTTGCATCTTCAGGCCTGGGCTATCAGCAAGAAGCCGAGAAGAAGTTTTTTTCCCGAGTGATGGACGTTTTTTAATTGCTGGGTTTTCAAGTCGTAAAGGCATTAATTTTGGTTGCAAAACGGAGTAAAAGGCTACCGCTACGGGGCTTGATAAATAGTTAGGATATTGTGAAGAAGAACAACAGGAAACCGAAGTTTTTCATCTGCTGAAAAAGTTCACCATTGCATGAGCATCTCCAAGTGAAGACTTTCTCGATTTCTTCCAATGGAGATGTTTGTTTGTTGGTTGACTCTGTTAAGTGTAAATGTATTTTTTGTCGAAGCGAAAATGTTGAAGAATGAATCTCCAAGGATTTTTATAGCAGGAGATGTCATGTTTGCTGGTCTAGCGCCGATTCATTATCCTCAGGGCACAAGAGAAGAGGATCCGGAGCAGAACTCACACGGAAAGTTCTCTCATCATTGCGGGGGACCGTTCAACTTCCGTGGCATTCAGCATGCTGAAGCGATTCTCTATGCCTTGGATCAAATCAACAAAAACAAAACCTTGCTACCGGGAATCCTCCTGGGTGTCGACATTAAAGACACTTGCAACAGCGTTGATCATACGATTCAAGAATCTTTACAGTTCGGTTTTATCCGTGCAGCGTATATGCGCGCGGAACTTGACAATATTCGAGCCTGTGGATTGACGCTTAACGCCTCCACGCTGAAAACGTCTCCAGATAAGGGCGTCGCTCTTGTAGGAGCTGCTTACAGTGGAATCACAATTGCTGTGGCAAATCTAGCAGGACTATTCCACGTTCCGGTCGTTAGTTACGCTTCTACCAGTCGGCTTCTAAGCGACCGCAAACGATTCAAGAACTTTTTACGCACTGTTCCGTCTGACACGCGTCAAGCTCAAGCCATGGTTGACATCATTCGCAAATTGGATTGGAACTTTGTCTCGACTGTTGCCTCAGATACGGAGTACGGACGCTCGGGAATCGATGCTTTTAAGCAACTGATCGGGAGCAGTCAAAACTATTCTCGCATTTGTATCGCAGTCGACGAAGTCTTCACCGTGCGAACACCTGAGGCGAAAGTGCGCGAAATTATGTCGAAAATTCGCGAACATCCCGAAGCGAAAGTAATCGTGCTTTTCGCCGAACTGAATGATGCAGATTATTTCATTAACGTGGCTCGGGAGGAAAACATGGCTGGTTACATATGGATTGGTTCTGACGCATTCGCTCGATCTTATTCAGTTTTGCGCAACAACAAAGAAATCTTAAAATACTGGATCAACATAGAACCCAACTCGAAAGTTTACGAGCCTTTCAGAGATTATTTTGAGAACATCACTCAAGAACGCCTGAATCGGAACCCCTGGTTGAGGACTTACCAACGGTATGTTAAGAAACTGTTAAATTCAACCGAACCTATAGATTATTCTTCATATACGACTACTGCAATAGACGCGGTGTATGCTGTGGCGTATGGCTTGCATAACATGTACCGTTGTTCTGACAAGGCTTGTCTTATCCAAGTCTCGAATACCATACAATCTGAAGTGTACGACTTCATCAAGAACTCTTCCTTTGTATCGCCTACTGGTCAGCGGGTGTCATTTGACGATAGTGGAAGCGCGAAAGCTTACTACAATATAATTTTTCTTAACAAACGTGGCGGGAAATTCTTTTTTGACATTCTTGGGAGTTGGTATTTAGGAGAGAAATTTAAATTTTGCTCTCCGTTCGAGGTCTATCGACATCCTTTCAGTGATTTCCAGTCCTTTGCAAGGTGTAGTCCGAGATGTAGACCTGGGCATTGGAAAGAACCGAAGAAACACTACCCGGAGTGCTGTTGGAACTGCCTTCGTTGTGATGGCAACAGTATCAGCAACCAATCAGAAGCGACGGCGTGTGTAAGTTGCCCGGATGGAATGACAGCCAATAGTGGCAAGTCCTATTGCATCATAATTCCATCGAAAGAGATATTTCGCACCACGCCCGGCGTGGCAGTAGCTTGTGTCAGTGGAGTGGGCATAAGTGCTGTTTTGGTAACCTTTGTGTCAATGTTTAAACAAAGGGATACACCTGTTGTGAAGGCTTCTAGTCGAGGAATTTCTTACGTGCTTCTGTTTGGTTTAGCATGGTGCTACGCCCTTCCCATCCAGTTCATATTGCAACCGACACCCCTGTTGTGCCAAATTCGCCCGTTTTTAATCAGCACAGGAGTAGCTTTGGTGATTGGCGCTCTCTTGGCGAAGACCAATCGTATCGCGCGGATTTTCAGCTTGAAAACCATGCGCACTGGTAAGGCTTACTTCCTGAGCAATAAGTGGCAGCTTCTCTTTGTACTGCTGTGTGTTGTGGTTGAGAACTGCATTGCAGCCACTTGGATCATCATCTCGCCGCAAAAATCCGTGAGAGTCACTCACGGAAGCTACCAAGTCGTGCTGGAGTGCATGGGGGAGTCACTAGAGGGCGTGACGATATGGGCGGCATTCAACGCTGCCCTGATTCTTCTTTGTACGTACCAAGCTTTTCTAGTACGAAAAGTTCCCGCAAATTACAACGAAGCCAAGTTCATCGCCTTCAGCATGGTCACCGTGTGTATAAGCGGAGCGGTTTTCATTCCAACAGCTTTAGGCACAAAGGGACTTCACAGAACAATTACGACTTGTTTTCTTTTCATACTTTGCTGCACTGTTGGTCTTGTTTGCCTTTTTGGACCAAAGTTGTACATAATTATCTTCCGCCCTGAGAAAAACCAACCATACGAGCCCAAACCTGAACCAAAGCCTATCGGAGTTCTTCGACCACAATACGTCCGTTCCATTTCTTCTCTAAGTACGCTGACTATGACGAACTCATTGGAAAGTTTGGACAACCCACAGCTAACGAATCTCCATCACTCCGAGGCTCTTGCTAGTAGACTTCAATAGCTGGCCTTTTTCTCGTGATCTGAGAGCGTGTCGAGACTTTCAGTAATTTAAAAGGACGTTTCACATCGTCAATCTGATGTCTTACTTTAAGTCAATCGCTTCTAAGTGCTTAATTTCTTGTATTCGTGTGGGGCTCTTGACATCTGTTGAGACTTTCAAATGAATCATAGTTTGATTCTGCAATCAAAAGTTCCGCGAGGAAATTACTTTAGACATCCGTCAATCCCGTAATGGTGCTGATGCACAATGAACGCATTTAGGAAAACTACGCAAGGGGTTCAACTTCTTATCACTGTTTCCCCTTCACCACCATGGAATGGGTTCAGTTTGTTTTCCTCGTAAGTGTTTGTACGTGGACATGTTTGAAAATCAGCAGTAAAAGAAGTCATAACACAAGGTAATGACTCGCTAAGTTAAAAGAAAAATAAGAGACACTGAGAGCTCTTAGAATGGGTGTTTCGGCCGTAAGAGTAAGCTACACAACTACTGACAATCATCTCGAATGTAAGTTGGCAAGACACCCTTAAGACTGGTCACAAGGGTAAAGTTTCCTTAGCCCTTTAACCCCTGAAAGTGACTTGCATCCTATTTCTCCCAACAGTATAACCATCGCATCACACAATAAGGTCATGAGAATAAAGGAAATGATCACCAACTAAATATTTTCTCGATTGCTAAACAAATTCTCTTTGTTAGCACCTTAGGAGATGTATAGAAAACAGTATGGAGAATATACATACTGATGTTAGGGTGTAAAGGGTTAACATAAGCCCGTGGGACGCGGACAAGACCGTCTAACTACAATTCACTTAGCAAGCAAGGTTGACACAAGTAAACGCAGACACAGTTTGAACTTCTATAAAAATTCATGTTTTAATCCTCAAACTATAAATAATGAGTTAATTAACTCTTTCCCTGACTAGCAGCAAGTTTGCAACCATAGCTTTCGTACCTTTAATTGACGAATTGCAAATGACGAACTAGTTAAGTCGAGACCAAGCTACTGAGATGAATAAAGCCTATCGTACATCATTCAAGTCAGCTTGGGGAAAGAAAGCTCTAAACGAGTAGAAAAAGTATGTCTATATTTCCTAGAGCTTTACTCTACAGGATTCGTCAGAAAATGTATCAAATATGTATTTTTCAAACAATAAATTACTCGAAATAATTGGTTCTCATCAGAAATATCAGAACAATAAATTACCTTACAAAAATAACCCCCAAAATTACACGGCACAAGGCGGGAAACCAGCAATCGTCTCAGAAGAAATAAATTATATTCGAGCTCGTGTCTTTCACGAAAGCTTAAGGTGTTCACCACAGATCGCAAAACATTGGTTCTTGTTAGCAAAGCTGCCGTTTTTTAAAGCTGTTCCCAGCCTTCTACCATAACTACATCAATATGCAAATGCTTAAAATAAAGTTTTCATATCTTTCAATTGAAAAAATAGATATTTTCATCACGGTTACTCCAATGAAATCTACCTACATGGCGACTTTCAACAAACCAGCGGAAAAACTGGGAAAATTTTTTTGCAAATTAGTTTCAAATATTCAAATATGTTTTCCCTCATATTTGCTCCTGAAAGAAGAAGACAAAGAAAATCCAGGAGTCTATGATTTTCACACATACACAGCAGACAAGATTTGCAGTGGGTCTGTTATGTCAAAAAATTAATTAATCTTCGAAAAGTCTATCATTCAATACAGCTCGAACCCTTCACAAAAAGAAACGAAATTGCAAACGGTCAAAATTTTCACCTAATTAAGTTTCACAGAAAAATTGGGGTTTGAATTGTTCACACTTCTCTTAACTAATGATATTAACGCTATCAAATCCCAACCAAATGCATTCTGGATTTGTCACCACCCTCATAATCTTTTAAAGACCTTGAAGAAACAATCCCTAAGCACAGCTTGAAAATAATTTCCCAAACTATATACATGATTAGATTTAATTCTGCAGAAAAATCATTCACACTGATAATTTATTATGAAGATAAATCGAAACAAACTGTGAATCGTCAAACACCTAACACGAGTCTTGAAAAAAAAAACAAACAAACAAACAAACAAACAAACAAAAACGTCTTCTTGGTTTCTCAACATAAATTTAAAAAAATGAAAACTGACCTGAAGTTTTTTATTTTTCTTTACTAATTCCTAGTTAAGTGAAGATGGTATGTAAAAGGGATCAGACAGAGCCCATAAACTGTACAAAGTTCAATATATTTTAAGTTAGGAGTAGAATATTCCATAAAAAATTCACTTCCTTATCATTCCCTATGCCCTTAAATAGTGGGTTGAAATTTCAATAAGGCAGTTGGGGTTTAAATGTAACTGATCATCTAAGGCTTAGAAACACTATTAATATAAAAAAGGTCCTGTAGAATATGTAAATTTTAAGCTCTCATTTTTGGAGCTCCTGAATCAGGAACTGAAGAGAAAGCCACTCTTCATACAAATACTACCATTTTAAGCCTAGTTTACATCTTCTCTTTTTAATAGGAATTGTACATTTCCAAGACCACAAGTTTTGGTCTTCTGTCTCATCTAACATTGAAGAATATACTTCAGTTAATCTCTCTTTTTTGTCTGAGATGATTTGCTTTGAAGTTTGGCTAGATTTTCTGAATTTTTTCACTTAAAAGTCAAGCAATGAGCCCCATTTCCTAGTCCAAACTTCATCTCTACGAACTGAAAATGGACTGAATTCACCTGATCCACAATCAATCAATTGATTACTATCTTTTTTTAATGTTTTAAATTTTTTTTCTACCGAGAGATTTTCAAACTGATCTGATGGGCCAGTTCTAACTAATGAGAAGTGTTCTTAGTTCAATGCTTGCTACAGTATATCAGTAATGTAGCTCAATCATAAAGGATCATTGAGTTGAAATGAAATTGTAACCTAAAATAAATTACTTAGATTTCTGACACTCGGATGTCACACTTACCTACAAATTTAAAATTGTAATGTAACTTTATATCCAAGATTCCAGAATATACTCTGAAATTGAAATCAACTCTCAAAACAACACTCAATTTGCTGAGAGAAATAATATTAAATACCTACCTAACTAAATTAGCTGCTGCTCTGTAAGTAAGATAAATAGAGCCCAGTGGACTAACCACTCTAAGATCAGCTGCTAAGTTAAACATTTTAGAACATTTTCATATTCTGCCAGGAGAAAAGAACTAGCTCCTTCTAATGCTGCTTTGAACGCATCTTATTGGCAGCCTGTTGTTTACGCTTCTGCTCACACAAAACTGGATTTGAATCCACACTGAAGTAAATCACACGACCTAGAAAAACAGAGGGCAAAAATTTTCAAAAAGGTTACTTCCCTACATCTATTTGTTCTACAGTTTTGGTTTAGGGATGATGACAAACCACATGGTCGTTCTTTAAGGATTAGGAACACTTTTTAATCTTGTGTCATAATTGTGGCAGCTCAGCAGAGGAAAAGAAAAGATTCCTGTGCAGTAACCTGCCTTACAAAAGAGTTTTCTTTCATATTTCTAATAACAAATACAGAAATTTGCAGAAATGCCTGCAACAAAAAACTGTGGAGAAGTGAACAGAATGATGTAATCAAGACTAAAATTACATCTGTACTCACCTTCCTTTGCTTCAAGCATTACTTTCTTCCATGCTGAAATGACAAGTAACAAAAGAGTTGAAAAATAATAGTTATCATTAACCTTTTCACTACCATGAGTGACCAAGACAGAATTTCTCCTTACAATATCAATACAATATCTGCCACATAAGTGATGAGAGTGAAAGAAAATATCGATTTGGGGATAATTAGTTGACCTAATACTAAATTCTCTGAACTAACAATACAAGAATTGAACAGTTGACAGTAAGGAGAATGACAAATTTGATCTGGGAGTAAAAGGGTTAAAAAACAAAGAGATAAAATAGCTGCTTCAAGCACATACAAACAAAAATATTCAGGGCTGTTGTCTATTTGCATCAAGCATAAACTGAAAAAGAAAACATCCTCCATCTGAAAAGTTCCTTCATTCACTCAGACTGTTGACATCTCAGCTGGGACGAGTTTTGACTTACAATCAAGTAAATGAGTTAAGATGAGAAAGAAATAATTTTAAGATAAACACTCACCATGGCATAAATAGTCCACACACTGCTTTTGGTTGAACATGTCCCTCTGTGTCTCCACTTGCAGACAACTCATTTCACATGAGCTGACACTGTTAGCATCAACTCCACTGTCACTACTTTCATGAGGCTCAACTGTAAAACATAATCAACATATGTACTAAGTTAAAGCATAATGTTTAACATCACATTAATCTATTTTGTTTTCTTCCTTTTTCTTTTTTAAGCAATATATTAACTGCACCTTAAACCTTTGCCACCTTTGAGTGACCATTGCTTATTTTTCCCAACAGTATTCATAACAGAAATGATCACCAACTAATTAAGGAAACTCTTGATTGTTAAACAAATTCTCGTCGTCAGCACCTTAGGAAATATGCAAATAACAGTACAAAGAACATGTGCACTGATGTTAAGGTATAAAGGGTTATATAAAATATGTCCCTAATCTTTACCCCACTACTCTGTATTGGTAACAAGACAGTGGTTCTCAAGTAATTAGAAATTTTTTTTATAGCCTTGTTGGTCCAACTGCTGAGCTATTACAGAACTGAACAGTAGAGATAGTTTCAAGGCACTTGTTTGACATTTTATCTCACACTAAACTTTTAAAGCTGATATTCTAAAAAACAATCTCTGACAAAAATGTCTTAAAGTATTAATTCATGTCACAGTTATACTTGCCTATTTCATGCACTGTTTATGCATTTCTCATTTATCTTTCACATGACTGAATCATACACTCAACCTATCAGCATGTATAATACATGTATGTACAAACATGGGAAAGATGTTGGAAATGGTGAAAAACATCACACTGAAAGATGAACCTTTATTGTTCCACAATTTCCAATTGTTTTAATTTTGCCAGTTTCCAATGCCAATCAAGGCTAATTTTTGCCACTCAACTGAAATCAGTTACTCCAGTTGTTGCCTCTACGAATAGAGCTGATATTATAAAGAATTTTACAGAAAACCTACCTTTTCCTCTTGCCTTGATCAATGCATCCCTATAAGAGAACCCTTTGGGAGTTTCCAACACCTCCTTTTTATCATCAGGTCTTGTATTAAATTTTACTTTATTGTCTCTGTCAGTCTTAGCTTGTAACTGGCCATGCACAATTGAATTCATTACTGAAGGCTCCATGTAAACAGTACTGTGTCTACTGTCATATGATTTGAAGTGATTCTTTTTATCATCAACAGACTTCCTTTGATGATAATTCTTCCTAAATTGACTGTCAGATTGTTGTTTGTGAAAGTCTCTCCTTTGAAATCTGTCCATGTGACTCTTTTCCCTGCTTGTTCTTACTGCAAGATCCTTCTTCTTCTTGCGCTGTGATCTTCTTGTTTGTGACTGCCAGCCACCCTCTTCTTCAACTGCAGATGAACTTGAGACATCCCCATCCACAGAATCTCCCTCAAGTACGACAAAGTCTTTACACACTTCTTTAGCATCAGAAATGTCACTGACAGGGTCATCCTCTATATCATACGAATTCATATTTTCCTTCACAATTTCTTTCCTTAATAGGTCCTTAGTATCTGTTGATGAAGTTTGACAATTTTTTACCTTTTGCTTTGCCTCTTTTTGGTTGCTAACATGGTCTGGGGAGCTGTTTTTTATCATTTTTGTAGTTTCTGTCCTATTAAATGAATTGTCCTCTCCAACTTCTACATTGGGTAAGAGTCCTAGGGCAGATTCCAAAAGCTTTTCAGAGGAAGGTGGGAATCCAAATGGTGGTTCCTTGGTAAAGACTGGTGAGGTATGTGATCCTTAGGTTATAGGGAAAAAAAATGAAAGCATAAATTTCTAACAAGTATCAGTAAATGGAAACAGTTTACATCTTGCACTATTAATGGCTTAACAGAATGATCATTTACAGTAGGAAAGGGTAGTTGATTTGTATCACTATTTGCCAATACATCCTCCACAATGTATACCAATTCTCCAATATTGTCTGTTAATCATAACAACACAGCAGCCCTCAAAGTACAAACAACAAGTGAATATTCCTTTAGCTGAGTTTCTCTAACTATTGAGCTAATACAACAAGGAACAGCAGATATAGTTTCAAGGCAAACTCCTTTCATGATCATTTTCATAGGATTACTTAATACAAATTTTCCTGACAAACAAGTTGCACTTAATGGTTGAAAGAGCTATAGACTTAGCATGCAAGTAAACCTTGGGCAGTGAACAAAGCTAAACCATAAAATTCTTACAACTAGAAAGCACTATAACCTAAAAAACTTGCGCTGTGAAAACCAAACATGGCAAGAATACTTGGGTTAAATGGCATTTCAAAGATACCATTTACCAAGAAAAGTAAAATGCTCACTAAATATCCCTTTAAATTTCTTGTTTTATGTTTCCCCAATTATTATAAACATTGTTAAAAAACAGAGATCCCTACCTAATCCAGAATCTGGGGTCACTATTCCACTGTCATTTGACGAGGAACTTCCACAAGACCTCAAGTCCACATCAATTGGTTTGGAACTTTGTGTCATTTCCAAATCTCTTCCATTTGAAATGTCAGCGACAAGATTGGTATTCATGCTGACATGTAGAGGAGCAATAGTTTCTGGACCAAGAACTTTGTGTTTCATCTCCAAATTACTTGCATTTGGTTCTTCTGTACTATTAATGCTGTTTGCTACTGAAGATTCCTGTAAAGAATTTGGTACTTTGCCTTTTTTTGATTTTCTCTTCTTTTTATTTCTACTTTTTGGTTTCACTTCAGGGTCTTCTTCTTCTTCTCCCACAGGATTATTTGCAGGTCCATTTATATCCTCTTTAATTTGATTTTTACTTAGCTCCCTTGGTAAATTGTTGATTGTAGTTGTTATGGAGAAGGAATTTGGGGCTAACTTGTCCTTTAAAATTTGGTTTGAACCTGGAGGAAAAAATGCATGATCCCCACTAGATAGTATTTTCTTTGAGCGATAGAGCTCAAATGTTTTCTTAGGAAGTGCTGCAACTTGTCTGGCCATCTCTTTTATTTTATCAACCTGAAAATGGAACAAAAGGGAAAACGTCTTATGAAGTTATTAGATTTCATGTGTTATTTTGAAAAAAATAATGCTATTATGATTGAAACGACAACATCTCAAGTATCAAAACAGCAAACAAAAACCACCAACATCACATTTTTCAGATGAATGTTAAGAGCTAGAGTTGCCCGACAGTTAAACTATGAGATTTCTTGACCATTTCAGCCATCAACTAGAGATGTAACCAAGAAGGCAAGTCAAATATAATATCATATGTTTTATGTAAAACTAGAAATAAAAAATAATCTGCCATAAAACAAAGTTTGCAGAGGACAAATCGAAATGTTACTAAAATATCAATTGTTTCAACAAACAGATCAACCAATCTCTTCCCTTTAACAATACAATGTTAACAAAGGTCTCAATACAAGAACACATTCGCAATCAATCTCACAGAAGTAAAACAAAAATGCATTTCAAATGCAATTATGATATTTGGTTAAAAGTGGTACAAGTATAAATATATATATAGGATGCAAACCAATAACCACTAATATCAAGCTTTACTGGCTCTGGTAAATTTGAATTTTGTCCAGACGATCTTTCCAATTGTCTGGCATAATGATGCCACGGATTACATAATAACAATCTTAATGGTTGAGGATTTTTCCAACTGAACAGTTTTCATTGCTAGATTTCAACAGGACAATGATACTTTGTCACTTAATCTCAACAGTAAGTAATTTTTCCTCTTTTAAAACTGTGCTTCTGGAGAGGTTTATACCTGAAAACAATGCACTTCTATCAGATGATGTAATCATCAATATTAACTTTGCAAGTAAGAAAAATAGATCGTTGATAAAGTAAATCACTCTTTCGGTAGACGTGGCGTAAAATAATTCCATATAGTTTCAAATTACTTTACAGTAGATTTGATTACACCCAACAAATTAATAAAAAAAATCTTAGGTAAACATTTCATCAACCACACACTAAGTGATATTGAGCACCTAAAGTACAAATGAAATGTCTGCGGAAAGTTGTGCATGGTACAGAGTTTGTCTAAGCATGTTTGCAATAAATATCAACAACAGTTTCAGACAGCAGATTTTAAACAGACTAATTCAAAATACACAAGCTTAGTTAGAAATTTTTTCGTGCAGTTGTTCATGCGAACCAATAAACGGATATCCTTTTTCCATTGTACTGCAAGCTCTATATCAATCTCACATGTTGAAGTTTCATACTTAATATGCGTACACGGCTCGAGAAAAAAATTACGACTGGACTGCGAATTTCGGTACCAATCCACGAAACTAATAAGTTTTGTTGATCTACTAAGTCTAGATCTGTTTTAAAGAAGGTTAGCTTAGCGATGGAATCATCCATCGAAAAACTCGCAGCGTATCACATCACGTCTGACATGGGGCACAAGCCTCATTGTACATTACACATTTTAGCTTCGAACTCTCCTTACAGCCTAATGAATCAGAAGGTTTACTACAAATTTTCCTCGCCATCATCCAAGGCAAGCGAAAAAATATTGGAATATTTAAAATCACTTTACCTTCACTCCACGTTGACAAACATGCGTAAGCTCCGTAAAGAGTGAAATCGCACGCGTGGAAAATTTTGTAGTTTGGTAGGAAACCCACGTAATGCAATAGAGCAAAGTTCGTCTGATGAAATCGAATTTTAACGAGACTGCTGACGCACTGATATTGACTCGATGGCCGCGGGGCTGATAGGAGTTCTACTTGTTCGTCTTAAATAACCAAGACCTTTTGTGACCTTTGCGTCCACGTTTCTATATCTGGGACGTATTGGGTAAGAATTGCATAATATCCACCCGATGGATGGTCACATGTCCAAAAATGCATAAATTTCGCCACCGGGCAACTGGTTTCGGATATACCCGCCAGGAAACTGTCGAGACTGGAGTATTTAACAACTAGACAACAGCTCTTTGAATATCAACACCCTAGTACTAGTATCATCATTAAAAAAATTCAGGATGTTTACATGGCAACCGAAACAGTTTTCAAATTTTGAGATCTGCAAACTCACCCGTTTCCTGTTGGTGGAGCATGGAATACTGTCATAAATCTCGAGAAAGGTTTCAACTTCATCGGCCCGAAGAGCTTCAGCGAGTCGCACAGCTAAGACAGTTTCCTCTTCCTTCAAATCGGGAGAGCATAAGTTCTCTCCCAAGTCGGCCATATTTACTCCATCAGTCTCACCAGTTTTCCTGTTATTTTTTTCTTGCTCTTCATCTCAAATTCTGCGCATACTCCGAAGTTTTTCGCTCATATATCGCGGGCTTTTGAAATTTCCTACCCAGAAACCTTTGCTATATTCTAGGTTCAACATGGCGGATAATTCGAAGATGGAAGTGGAAGAGGACGCACGCGAAACGACAGAGGATCAAGATATTGAAGAGAACATGGATGAAGCTGTGAACAAGGAAGATGGAAGCTCGGACTCCGAAGACTCTGATGATAATGAGGCTGTTCATGATCCAAGAATTCAGCAGCTTGAGCTCCAGGTGCTGTAACTCTGCACGCTTGCATGTGCACAGCTGACAGTGTTTCATGACCTGTTCACGTTGTACTGAAGAGCGTCTGTGAAATTTTCATTCTATATTTTGCATAAATTTAATTCGCAGAAGTATGCTCATGCGGGGGACCTGAAAAGCTCTTAATTTTTATCTTGACATTGGAGAATTTTAAATTTTGAAATAAATAATTTCTGCACATTTTCGCTGATCAAAAGTATGGATGAGACGCGTTATTCCCTCCCTCAATTTTTCTTCATTTTAAATTTAAATAAGTTTTGGGGAGAGACAAAATAGTTTAAGTTCAAAGAATGGGATCCATATCCCCCATTTCCCTTCCCCTCCCTGTAGGTGCATATTGTAAAGTTTTTCAAGGGGACTGTGTAATGTACTTCATCTCACTGAGTCATAGCAGTACCTTCTTGTTCCTCAACATCCTTCATGACTTCAAAACTCACCATCTGGCAACCTAAAATCATTAACTGATCACCATGAATGAAGTTGTTCTCGTCCCTCTTGCAATAGATCATGAATAAGACTAGATAAAAATAAATGTCTTCAGCTTACTAAATTTAGTAACTATTGACATTTACAATGCTGTTGAAATGCTCATACTGAATCATAGTACCTGAGAACCCTCCTGTATATGGTTGCAGATATTTTCACTAGATCACAGTTAAAGATTTAAAAAGGAGGGCTCTAGATAGGGGAGGGAGAGAAGGAATGAGCCAGTTAGCAAAGATTTACTCATAAAAAGTCTTCCTTGTTTGGTTTGTCTGAACAAATGTTTGTTAAGAGATGGAGATAAATACATTTTACCAAAAGAATAATTAAAGTTGTTATTATTTGATTTTTGCTTTGAAATTTTCAGGTAGCAAGCAATCCATACCACTATGATTTTCATGTAGAACTCATTAAACTTCTTAGAGAGTCTGGTGATCTTGATAGATTGAGGGATGCTAGAGAGGGTATGAGCAAGATCTTTCCTCTGACAGAAGGTAATTTGTAATTATGTGGCTGTAAGTGTTAGCAGTATGGGTTAGTTTGTTGTTTCTGAGATGTGGCCGAGAAAATGATGTAGATCAAATATGGAATTGTTGCCTGACATAGTTTAATTTTTAAATAGGTCTTGTCTAATTCAAAGCGTGAAGAAACCTTTCCTTGGAATAAAAAATTGAGTTACTTCTGCAGCATGTACATGTACATTTATGTTGAATTTTGATTTTTCTTCATAAAACAACCACAAACAGTTCTGCTGTTTATCCTCTAATCCATTTCAAACATAATTTTCTCTTGATAGCATGAACCCCTCAGTAACAACATTTGATTTACTGCATCAAAAGGTCATATGAGTTGTGCTTTGTGTGTTTTAAAAACCACCATACATGTTTGTTCTTAAGAGTTGTTCATTTTCACAGATCTCTATTGCAATAATGTTACTATGATATAATAATAATAATAATAATAATAATAATAATAATAATAATAATAACCAATATTTATATAGCGCACATATCAAAAAACTCTCATGGCGCTTTACAATAAGTATAAGAAATTAATTTGAATTAATTTAAAAATGAACACAATACCTGTTGATCAATATAGAAAATAAATATGTTTTTAGATTATTTTTAAATAAAGGCAGTGTTCCAACATTTCTGACATGGTTAGGCAGGCCATTCCATAATTTTGGTGCACAGACTGAGAATGCTTTATCTTCATATGTTTTTGTTCTTGATGTTGATGTTGCTAGGAGTCCTAAAGAACTCGAGCGCATTATTCGAGATTGTTTTCACTCCTGTCATTGTTCAGAGACATATCCAGGGCACAGTCCATGACAAGCTTTGTAGACAAGGAGTAAAATTTTGAAAACAACGCAATACAAAACAGGAAGCCAGTGAAGTTGCTGTAATAAAGGGGTGATGTGATTGTACTTGAATGAACGAGTGACTAGTCGAGCAACTGTGTTTTGAACCCTCTGCATTTTGTTAACTTGATATTTGGGCAGACCAAAGTAAAGATGGTTGCAGTAATCTAGCTTTGTAGTTACAAAAGCATGTACAACCTTAGAAGTGGTGTCATCTGTCAGATATTTACAAATTTTAAACAGGTTTCCTAAGATGAAAGTTCTACAAAGTTGATTTATATGATCATTGAACAATATTTCCTTGTCAAAGATGATTCCAAGATTAGTAACTATTCCAGCCATAGTGAGTTGTTCATTACCGAGGATGATCTCATCCAGTGAAGGGCTTTTCCAAAATTTAGAGTGAATTAATAATATGTCAGTTTCCTCTTTGTTAAGCTTTAGCTCGTTTCGCTCCATCCATAAGCAAATGTCAGATACACAGTTGGCAATCCAGTCAGTAATAGAGTGAATGTTATAATGTTTGAAGGCCACATAAAGCTGTGTGTCATCTGCATAAAAATGTTAGTTTAGTTGGTGCTTTTTGATGACTTCAGAAATGGGTATGGTATACATCAGATACAGAACAGGTCCCAAAACAGAGCCCTGAGGCACTCCTATTAATAGATCACGGTTTCCAGCAATTAAAATAGCAGTCTTATAATAATTGAAATAAATTTTGAAATGTTTTGTTTAAACCCTTTAACTCCCAGAAGTGATTAACACGTAACTTCTCCCTATAATGTTCATACATTATTTGGCAAACTGGTAATGAGAATACTCAAACTCATCAGGTACAAGATATTACTTTGATTGACCACCAAATTCTCATAACCAATTTACAAAGAAATGTATAGTAGCTAGAGGGGAGAATTAACAATCAGATCTTGGGAGTTAAAGGGTTAAACACAGTGGAAAGGTTTTTTTGAGGTATATGATTTAGTAAAAAATTATGTATGTTCTGTCATCTTTCCATCTAGAACTATGGTTAGAGTGGCTCAAAGATGAGATCCCATTAGCATGCATCCCAGAACAGAGAGAGAAAGTCATTGCTCTGTTTGAAAGAGCAGTGAAAGACTACCAATGTAAGTCCATTATATACAACAGCACCTATCTTCCTTGCAATATATGTTGTTGTGATTGCACAAAAAGTAGCCATATTGTGATGAATAGGACTCTTCCAGAGACACAAAAAATTAAACACCATTGTATGTAAAATGGTTGATCTGATTGATAGATAAAAGTTTGTGAGTTGTTTACTCATTCAACTGTGATTTGGTGTTTAAAAATCTTGTTTAGACAAAATAAATTATTTTATTCAATTTTTATTAGCAATTATTCCAAAGTTTCTTTATTGATGAAACTTAGGGAACTTTTTATTATTGTTGATTTGATTTGCTCTTTCCTTATTCATTTTTGTGAGAGGTTGTTTTATCAGGAGATGCAATTTCTGACCAATGGCTCACTCCCTGAGATAAGCATAGGCCTGAAAAGCACCATTGCTTGTCCATGATTTAAACTTTTCTTCATTCCGCACAGCTGTACGAGTTTGGATTTTATACTGTCAGTTTATGATGGATATCATGGAAGGAGAAGACAGTCTTCAGGCAGTGAGATCAACTTTTGAAAAAGCTTTAACTGCGGCTGGTCTTCATGTAACCGAGGTACTATAATGCAGTTAATACATAAGTTATCATTATAATTGTAATTGCTAGGAGCCTATTGTACAAAGTACAATAGTACTTATACTGCAATAGTACTTATACTACAATAGTACAGTACTTATACTGCTCCAGAGAGGCTGTTTTTTCTGTTTGCTGTGTTTTCAATATAGATCAAGATTTGATAGTTTTGAAATTCAAACACTAACAAGGTCAAAGGAAAACTGAAAAACAGAAGACCAATTTTTGAGCTAAGACCCACACTACACAAATGGCATCAGGCCTGTGTAATTACAAGGATTTTTGATAAACAGGTCCCTGACAAGAAATGCAAACATTCTTTGGCAATGTTTTAGGAGCAAGGTAGAGGTTATCTTTGATAGTGATGAACTGAATCTGTTCCAGTCTGTATATAGATAGTCCGTATAATAGCGATAATAATAATGATATAACAATAATTTAGCGGTGGACATTTTCACAAGGTGGGCCTTCCTGTCAACTGTTTCCAGATCAAATTAGAATTTGGAAATGTTGGTTTTTGGGGAGGGAGGAAAACTGAAGGACCCAGAGAAAAATCCTCAGAGCAAGAACAAGAACAAGAACCAACAACAAAATAAACCCACAGATGATGGTGGATCCTGGAATGGAACCCAGGCCACAGTGGTGGGAGGCAAGTGCTTTCACCACTGTACCATCCCTGCTCCCTTGTTTTGTTTTTGATTGCTTTTACACTTTTCTGATTGTAGGGATCCTCAATCTGGGAAGGCTATAGAGAGCTAGAAATGGACATTTTAGAATCGCTAGAGGTGTGTCTTTATATCTACTTTGCAATGTCTATTCAGTTCTGTGATAGGTAAGAATGTGCCTTCTTTTACTGAAGTTTAGCTTTCTAGGGATATATAATTTATGTACATCAAATTATTGCAGTAAAGCAAATTAGTGGTGCAAGCCTGCACATTCAAATTCTCACTTTGTGTAGCTATTTTTTTTCACTTAAGTTAGAAACATTCTGCTCAGTTTGTTAATGTACTTTTAGGACAGTGTGATACATTTGTTATTCTGATGTAGTAAACAAGAAAAAATGGCAGGTTCTGCTTGGGTTATTGCAGATATGGTTATGCAGATATAGTTATGCATTTTATTGGTAGAATATGATTTTTCTTATGAATTGTATTTTTAAGAGATAAAGGTAAAGCTTTAATGGGTTTAATGCAGTCGTGAACAGATTCTTTTAATCAAAATTACAGAAATAATAGTATTTTATTTTTGTCCCATTCTTGTTTCACACAGCAAATCGTGATGGAAGAAACCAAAGAAAGTATGGCTGAGAAGATGTAAGATATGATGTATATCAGTCTATAAACAATTATTTATTATCAAATTACTTAAAGACATGCACCAGCACAAGCATACAAAGACAAAAACACTAAAATTATGGAACTATTACAGTGCTTCTGAAAAACAAAATGCTGCAGCATAAAACATGTCCTAGAAAAGGTTTTTTAACAGTAGCTCAAAATGGTTGCACTATGTTTAAATAACAATTCTTTGATGTATTGTAACTTCAGAATCACATGTCTTTGTTTGTGTACTTGACATTTTGTCAAAAAATGGATGATTATTCCTCAACAAATTGTGATAATTTTATGTAAAATCAAGATTTCCACAGCAAAACTGCAGCTTCTTATAAAAAGCCTTTTATTTTTGCTCTATATGCCTCTACTTAAAAGTTAGGCGGGTGACTCCAAATTGGAACTTGTAGTGGCAAGTATGAGTGACATCAGACATTAGACTCATCTATGCAGTAAGGATTCCTATCTTCCATAAATGTAAGCTTTAGTGCATAAGTGACAATTTTTTTTATTTTAACAGCCCTTCATGCATTTATCATAAGGGTTTAAGAAAGTAAATAGCTCTTTTTTGATGAAATGTAATGACTTTTTTCACAGCTCCTCTCAAAAAGAAAGAGTGATGTCAGTATTTAAAAGACAGCTTGCTGTTCCACTGTTAGGTACAGAATTGATATAACCATTGCTAAACCAAGCTTCTGATCCATTTAGGTGGCAAGCGAATATAATCTTTTGTTAGGCTACTTTCTTTGCAGTGATCTATATGTTGAAAAAGATGACCCTTTAAGGTAGCCAAAATTTGAAGTAAAAGGTTTCTTTGCCTTTTGTTTGTTTTGTTTTACCATCAAACTCAGAAAACTAAGAACATCTAGAGTATATCTAGAAAGTTTGTTGTGTAATGACTAATCATGTGAGAGATCAGGAAACAATAGTTTAACTCAAAACCAAAAGCTATTTTATAAACAATGAGCTAAATGATGAAGAAAGATGTTTTTTGTCTTGTCACAAGCATGGGACAAAGAAAAAATTCTGAGTTTCCATGAGGAATTGAACCTCTGACCTTTGGATTCTGCACTGTGATGCTCCACCACTGTCTCAGAATCGGAGTCAATCAAACCTTAAGACTTTCAGAATCTGAAAGTCTAAGGTTTGATTGCTGTGATTTAACCATGGTTATCTGATGGTTATCTGATTTGTGCTCTGATGCTCTGCCACTGAGCTGGAATTGGAGTGTGGCACTGGAGGTCTGAGGTTCAATTCCTCATGGGAACTCAGAATTTTTTCTTTGTCCAACGCTCGTGACAAGACAGAAAACATCTTTCTCTATTTCTTCTCTGAGCTTAAAACTTGCCATCTCTCTTATTTTATTTACAAGCTGAATGATACTTGCCTTTTGATTGGTTCTTACTTATGATCTATTGGAAACAGATGCATAGATGATCTCACAATAGAGAAAATTTTTTTCTTTATCATATAACACAAATAGATTCCATGTTGCCATGGATTTGTTCAGCAGTAGATCACAGAAGACAATAACCTGTGATTGTAACATCAGTGACATATTTAGCTACACCTTATGTGCTACTTTTTTGTTCTTACTGTATTTTGACTTAAACTGTGATCTATACTTGAACAGATTTATTGTACCAAGGAATCTATTTGTAAATTACAACAGAGAGTTTGGATGTCTCACACCTGATTAACTTGTTTTCCTCCAAATAATTTTGGGCTTTTGCAAGTGTCATGGTCACTGATTAAAGAGCTGCGGAAAAAAAGAAAAAAATGCAGCACCTAAATTTTCTTGTGTAAAAGGAAATACAAACTAGCATTAACTTCAGAACAACTCTGTGCACAATGTATTTCAAGTGAGATGAGACTTTAATACCAAATGCCAGCTTTGTTGATCATTTTGAAAAATTGCGAAAAAAGAGAGATGTTTTACCCTAACCCTTCGATAAGTTTTCTTTTCCTTGTGTTCATGGTGATGTCCTGAATGTCCATTACCTGTTTGTAAAATGTTAAATTATTTATTTGCAATTTTTTTGATATTCTGTTAAAGGTATGCAGGCAACCTTAAGAGAGTTTGAAGACTGGTTAGAGGACTCTGTTCCTGATGCAATCATGATTGCCTACGAGAAAGCTTTAGCTAAATTAGAGGAATGTCTTCCTTTTGAGGATGCACTGGTAAGACATATTTTAATGTGGTGAACAGAATATCAAGCGATGTCCACCTTAAGTGTCTTGCACACTATTTGTTTTCAGCTTTGTTGGACTGTTACGTTAGTATCTCGCGCACTATTTGTTCTCTGATTTGTTTGACTGTTACGTTGGTATCTCGCGCACTATTTGTTTTCAGCTTTGTTGGACTGTTACGTTAGTATCTCGCGCACTATTTGTTCTCTGGTTTGTTTGACTGTTACGTTGGTATCTCGCGCACTATTTGTTCTCCGGTTTGTTTGACTGTTACGTTGGTATCTCGCGCACTATTTGTTCTCTGGTTTGTTTGACTGTTACGTTGGTATCTCGCGCACTATTTGTTCTCTGGTTTGTTTGACTGTTACGTTGGTATCCCGCGCCCTATTTGTTCTCTGGTTTGTTTGACTGTTACGTTGGTATCTCGTGCACTATTTGTTCTCTGGTTTGTTTGACTGTTACGTTGGTATCTCGCACACCATTTGTTCTCTGTTTGTTTGACTGTTACGTTGGTATCTCGCGCACTATTTGTTTTCTGGTTTGTTTGACTGTTACGTTGGTATCCCGCGCACTATTTGTTCTCTGGTTTGTTTGACTGTTACGTTGGTATCTCGCGCCCTATTTGTTCTCTGTTTGTTTGACTGTTACGTTGGTATCTCGCGCACTATTTGTTCTCTGGTTTGTTTGACTGTTACGTTGGTATCCCGCGCCCTATTTGTTCTCTGGTTTGTTTGACTGTTACGTTGGTATCTCGCGCACTATTTGTTCTCTGGTTTGTTTGACTGTTACGTTGGTATCTCGCACACCATTTGTTCTCTGTTTGTTTGGCTGTTACGTTGGTATCTCGCGCACTATTTGTTTTCTGGTTTGTTTGGCTGTTACGTTGGTATCCCGCGCACTATTTGTTCTCTGGTTTGTTTGACTATTACGTTGATATCTCGCGCCCTATTTGTTCTCTGTTTGTTTGACTGTTACGTTGGTATCTCGCGCACTATTTGTTCTCTGGTTTGTTTGCCTGTTACGTTGGTATCTCGTGCACTATTTGAGTTCTGGTTTGTTTGACTGTTACGTTGGTATCTCGCGCACTATTTGTTGTCTGGTTTGTTTGCCTGTTACGTTGATATCTCGTGCACTATTTGTTCTCTGGTTTGTCTGCCTGTTACGTTGGTATCTCGCACACTATTTGTTCTCTGGTTTGTTTGCCTGTTACGTTGGTATCTCGTGCACTGTTTGAGTTCTGGTTTGTTTGCCTGTTACGTTGGTATCTCGTGCACTATTTGTGTTCTGGTTAGTTTGACTGTTACGTTGGTATCTCGTGCACTATTTGTTCTCTGGTTTGATGGCCTGTTACGTTAGTATCTCGCGCACTATTTGTTCTCTGGTTTGTTTGCCTGTTACGTTAGTATCTCGCGCACTATTTGTTCTCTGGTTTGTTTGACTGTTACGTTGGTATCTCGCACACTATTTGTTCTCTGGTTTGTTTGACTGTTACGTTGGTATCTCGCGCACTATTTGTTCTCTGGTTTGTTTGCCTGTTACGTTGGTATCTCGCACACTATTTGTTCTCTGGTTTGTTTGACTGTTACGTTGGTATCTCGTGCACTATTTGTTCTCTGGTTTGTTTGACTGTTACGTTGGTATCTCGCACACCATTTGTTCTCTGTTTGTTTGACTGTTACGTTGGTATCTCGTGCACTATTTGTTCTCTGGTTTGTTTGACTGTTACGTTGGTATCCCGCGCACTATTTGTTCTCTGGTTTGTTTGACTGTTACGTTGGTATCTCGCGCCCTATTTGTTCTCTGTTTGTTTGACTGTTACGTTGGTATCTCGCGCACTGTTTGTTTTCTGGTTTGTTTGACTGTTACGTTGATATCTCGCGCCCTATTTGTTTTCTGTTTGTTTGACTGTTACGTTGGTATCTCGCGCACTATTTGTTCTTTGTTTGTTTGCCTGTTACGTTGGTATCTCGCGCACTATTTGTTCTCTGGTTTGTTTGCCTGTTACGTTGGTATCTCGTGCACTATTTGAGTTCTGGTTTGTTTGACTGTTACATTGGTATCTCGCGCACTATTTGTTCTCTGGTTTGTTTGCCTGTTACGTTGATATCTCGTGCACTTTTTGTTCTCTGGTTTGTTTGCCTGTTACGTTGGTATCTCGCGCACTATTTGTTCTCTGGTTTGTTTGCCTGTTACGTTGGTATCTCGTGCACTATTTGTTCTCTGGTTTGTCTGCCTGTTACGTTGGTATCTCGCGTTCTATTTGTTCTCTGGTTTGTTTGCCTGTTACGTTGGTATCTCGTGCACTGTTTGAGTTCTGGTTTGTTTGCCTGTTACGTTGGTATCTCGTGCACTATATGTGTTCTGGTTTGTTTGACTGTTACGTTGGTATCTCGTGCACTATTTGTTCTCTGGTTTGTTTGCCTGTTACGTTAGTATCTCGCGCACTATTTATTCTCTGGTTTGTTTGCCTGTTACGTTAGTATCTCGCGCACTATTTGTTCTCTGGTTTGTTTGACTGTTACGTTGGTATCTCGCGCACTATTTGTTCTCTGGTTTGTTTGACTGTTACGTTGGTATCTCGCGCACTTTTTGTTCTCTGGTTTGTTTGCCTGTTACGTTGGTATCTCGCACACTATTTGTTCTCTGGTTTGTTTGACTGTTACGTTGGTATCTCGCGCACTATTTGTTCTCTGGTTTGTTTGACTGGTACGTTGGTATCTCGCACACTATTTGTTCTCTGTTTGTTTGACTGTTGCGTTGGTATCTCGCGCACTATTTGAGTTCTGGTTTGTTTGACTGTTACGTTGGTATCTCGTGCACTATTTGTTCTCTGGTTTGTTTGACTGTTACGTTGGTATCTCGCACACTATTTGTTCTCTGGTTTGTTTGACTGTTACGTCGGTATCCCGCGCACTATTTGTTCTCTGGTTTGTTTGACTGTTACGTTTGTATCTCGCGCACTATTTGTTCTCTTTTTGTTTGACTGTTACATTAGTATCTCACGCACTGTTTGTTCTCTGGCTTGTTTGACTGGTATGTCATTATCTCGCGTACTATTTGTTCTCTGTTTGTGTTAGTGTTACGTTAGTGTCTCGCGCACTATTTGTTTCCTGACAGGTCTGATTGTAACGTTGATATCTCGTGCACTATTTATTCCATGATATTTCTGACTGTTACGTTGTTTATTTGACTGATACGTATATTAGATATACACATACTCCTTTGTTTATTTTTTGGGTCACTGCCTTCAATTGTGAATAAATTGAAGACTCAATTGTTGTCGGTTTAAAAAAAAAAATTTTGCTTCCCCTAATGAGGACTTTTTATGAATGGATCTAAGCATTTGTTGTGGTTCAAAATTTGCTCTTTGTTGTAAAGTTAAATTTAAAGAAAGATTTAAATTTTAACCGCAGACTTCTTGAGTAAGGCGCTAATTCACAATGCAATGGTTCTTGCCATTCAGGGTTCAGCTCAACCGCCCAAGACTACTGAATTTAAGTCATACCTGGAGTATGAACTGACGAAAGGAGATCCTGCCAGAATACAATGCTTGTACGAGAGAGCTATGAAGGAAAATTGTCTTGTTGGGGACATGTGGACTGACTATACTTCTTATTTGGTGAGGAAAGTTTGCTTTAAGAGTATCAAACTTAGGAGGGATCAGAGTGTAATTTCTCCCTAAAATATCGACGCTTTTAATGAGATAGGTGATGAGAAAAAAATACCTCTTACTAACGGGGTTTGAGGTCCGTTCGGAAAGTTACGGACCTAGTTCTGTTCTGATTTATGGCCCAAGTGCGAAGTTTGCGGACCACAAATCCGAGGAGAAAAACGAGGTTCCGAAACTTACAGAATGCACTAAGATAACGAGGGCAGTACGATATTTATCATTTCATTATTTACAATTTAACCCTTTAACCCCTAAGAGCGACTTGCATCCAATAATCTCTCCTTACAATATCACCCTTGAATCATGCAGTAAGGTCATGAGAATAAAGGAAATGATCAGCTGCAAAAGAAGCTGTTGATTATTACACAAATTCTCCTTGTCAACACCTCAGGGAATGTATGGGGAGAGCAGTATGGAGAATACCTTTATTGATGTTAGGGTGTAAAGGGCTAAACTAACTTTTGAATTTACGTTAGTATCTCGCGCACTATTTGTTTCCTGACAGGTTTGACTGTAACGTTGATATCTCGTGCACTATTTTTTTCCATGGTATTACTTCATAGCGCTCTTACTAACCGAGAGATATAATTAAAATAACAATTCAAATTGTGGGTAATTTTTTTTTTAGAATTATAGGAAGTGTATAGAAGAGAGAGAGTGAGTCAATATTTAAATCTTGGATGTGAAGGGGATAACCCCTTCACATCTTATAGGGACGGGAGAATGATCTGCCTATGTTGAATACTAGGCTGTGTTGCTTAAGCTATATTTTCCTGATTTTTTTTCATGTTTCCAGAAACTCTAACTGCAAAACAATAAGTTTATTAGTTTTTGCGTTGATCGTAACATCATTTTTTTGTATGAGTGACTAAGTTAATTTCTTAAATAGGATTCAACGTTGAAGATATCATCAGTGGTGCTTCCAGTGCATGAGCGTGCTGTCAGAAACTGTCCCTGGGTGTCTCTTCTCTGGCAGAATTACATGCGAGCACTGGTTAGTTTTTGCCCATTTCTTTATTAAAACTGACGGGGTTTTAACGGCAGTTTGCAAAATCACAACTGAAGGTTTATGGCTCTTTTATAGAATGCTCTCTTTTGTGCTCCAAAGTACTATCTCTTGTATTTGATTGTCAACGTTTCAACTTTTTAGGAACAAAACATCAAATTCGGTATCCATGTGGTTTCTAGTAATTGTTCTTGTCCTTCTTGTGTCTTTACTGAGTGATTGACTGACTAACTGACCATCTGTCTGTCTGTCTGTTTGTTTGTCAGTCTAACTGACTGACTGAACTGAATGTCTGTCTCTTTGCTGTCTGAGTGACTGGCTGATCGACAGACCGACTGGCCAACTGACTTAGTGACTGGCTGATCAACTGACTGTCTGACTGACTGACTGACAGGCTGACTGACTGACTGGCTGGCTGTTTGACTGACTGACTGACTGACTGATTGTCTGGCAGGCTGGCTGACAAACCTAATGGGTTACTGATCATCGAAATCGACACATAACTGACTAAAGCTACAGTAAATCGTGATTGGATCATTACTTACATGTAGATGCGTCATTGATTACTTTTTATTTTAAATGTGCTATAAAATAGTCTTCTCTAATTGCTCTCTAGCTAATCCGATGGACATCATAAATCAAGTAGTACAGAAAATACCTGATCACTGTTTTTTTTTTATCAGGAACGCAACAAACAAGACGGCAATAAAGTGAAAGGTATGATAGCATCTTAATTTCCCATAAACGTTTTGTTTTTCTGTATTTAATTGCTGTTTTACTCAGCTTAATGTTATGTTTATCAGTTCAGCTTTTTTTAAAATCAAACTTGACAGATGTGTTTGTTTATATTGTCCTCTGTTATTGCTTTGCTTGTTGCAAGATAAACATTTCGTGTACATTGACTTACTTCTCGCTGTCGTCGTCGTCACTTCATATATCATGTTTGGCTCTTGTAGAAAAAAAAATTAACCCTTTACACTCCAACATGAGTATTCATGTTCCCTATACATTTCTTTAGATGCCGACAAGTAGTATTTGATTAACAAACAAGGGCTTCTATTGTTGGTGATCATTTCCTTTACTCTCATAACCCCTGATGTTTCATTCATGAGTGATACTGTAAGGAGAGATTCGATGCTAGGTCAAAGGGTTGATGGCAAGCGTTGTCTTGACTCATTTATGGAGTCGCTCAAATAGCTTTCTGTGCCATTCTCGTTGGAAAGTTTCTTTTCAGACTGTGAGCGTGCATGTTTCTTGGCCTTATTATGGACAAAGGTACCTGGCTTTAAATCTAAGGCAGCTTTAGATGTTGAATGAGTTTCCATGAAGTTAGTTATGTTCTTTTTGCCTTGTTACAGAAACTCTAGACACAGCTCTGGGATGCGGTTTTTCTGGCAGTGACGATTACCTTCAGCTTTGGCATTGTTACTGTGATTACATGAGAAGAAGAGTGGAGGACTGGGGAGAAGGTACGATGTAATTACCACGGTGACGGAGCAGGGGGGAAGCGGGTTTTAAGCTACACTTCCTGAACTGAAATTTTAGGGGGCAACCTCTCCCCCCCCCTTTGCCTTGTACCACACACACCTTGTGCTTGTGCTAAAGATTTACGCAAAGTACATCGTCATTTCATTTCTCGTTAGCCACTATGGTAACGTGCTGTTTTTTCTATCTAGATGTGACCTGAGCGATAACCTTCTTTTGTGAAATATATGTAGCCTCATTGTTCTTGCAGAATAAGAACAAAGTGGTCAGCTTTGTAAAACATCAAGAAATAGCACAACGGCTTATTTAAAAATAAGTGCTTTAGTAAAGCTTCAGTTTCATAATCAAAAACGAACTCTCCCTAAGCCAAATCGACCTCGGTATGGTGAACACTCTTACTGAACTCCGCCAAATCCGATTGATATTATTATCAGATGAATTTATCTATCTTACAAGATTGATAAGAGCGAGGAATAACGTCATCTTTACTCTATGAGATCGTGCCATCTCCTGCAATTATACTAGAAACTTGGTTTGATCAACTGAGTTGAGTTCAACCAAGAGTTCAATCGGCCACTGTAAAGAGTTTCTAAAGCTGCTGTTTGGAGCGTTAGCTCCTCGCCAGAGCGATTAGCGCTAACGCTCGAAATGTCAGCTTTGAAACTCTTTACGGTGGCCAATTGACTAAATAAACTCAGCTGGTAAAGCCAAGTTGTCTTGTTATACTCCCCACCGACGAAGCACCACAGTTTCCTCAGAAACCTAGCCCTTTATATATTGGAAGCTGATTCATTGCGTTTTTACTAATGAATTTTACCATTCCACAGATAGTCAGAGTGTCAAAGACCTTAGGGAGAATTTTAAAACTGCAACAGAATATTTACAGAACTGTAAGTTAAATGTGTTACATCTTGAGCTTTTATGGGTCAATTTAATATGATCATGTGCTAAAATGGTGTTTGTCTTATACTGCTCTTGTACTGCTACGCAGATTTTGGCAATGACGGTGATCCCACGAATCTCTTAGAGAGATACTGGGCAAGAATTGAGGTAAGGTTTGAACGTTACTCTTTACATCCGATAATCAGTATGCATATTCTCCTTACAGTTCTTTATACATTTCCTAAGGTGCTGAAAAGGAGAATTTATTTAACAATCAAGAGCTTCTGTAGTTGGTGATCATTCCCTTTATTCTCGTTACCTTAATGTGTGATTCAGGGGTGATATTGTGGGGAGAAATTTGATTCTGGTCACTATTAGGAGTCAAAGGGTTAACAGAGAATTACCAAGCAGTACAAGTGGTCTGTTTTAATGCCATAGTGCAATTGTCGCAGTTCGACTTGATTGTCTTGAATTTTCTCTGTTGTTTCATTAGCTCATTTGTTAGCCATAACGTATTGTTCATTTTTGGTTGTGATTGTCAGGCATTTCACTGTAATAATATATCGGAATGTCAGAGACTTTGGGACAATGTGATACTCTCCAGGCACGGACGAGAAGCTGAGTTCTGGCTCGAGTATGCGAACCTTTTAAGGTCAGTACCTCGGTAGCAGCTCTTTTGACGAATTAAACAGCGTGGCCAACTAAAAACAAATTATACTCCCCTGCCAACGCAGCTCCACAGTTTCTTAAGGAACTTACCCCTTTTATAATCCTTTCCACTTCGTTTGCAGGTCTTGTCGTGACGTCAAAAAGTGTCGTAAAATCCTGCAGCGGGCTGTGCAGTCAGCCAGTGATAACCCTGAAATGGTGATTCAGGCCCTGCTCAGTTTTGAACGAGAAGAAGGTTAGAAGAGCTTGGAACCAATTGGGCCTGTGCTCAGTGACATCTGCAGTTTGATAATTTTATGAGAATGGTGTTTTCTTCCCTTAAACTCTCATTCTCTTCCCTTCCTCTTTCTCTTTCATTCTCCCCGTCCCCCTCCACCTCCTCTCCCTTTCCCACCCCCGCAAAAACAACAGCCGCAGTGTTATACTGTTATGACTCTGCTGTTCTCTTCCTCATTTTCTCTTTGTCTCCCTTTCCCCCCCTCCCTCCTTTGTCTTCCCCCTCCCCCTACACATCCACTTACACCTCCACTCTCCAAAAAGGCAACCTTAACAGTACTGCGAGAAAAAAAAACAGTTTAAATGATGTTTGAAAACGTTAATGTTTTCCCAAATCTTTGCTTTTCATTTGGCTTATGACCTTCACAAAGCACTGGTGTTCAGACTGATACCATTTATGAATATGTGCGAACAAGACATTTGATCTTTATGGTTGTATTTCATTAATTAGGGACGTTGGAGGACTGGGATGCAGCTTTTTCAAAGTGTCGAGTACAACTATTGAGAGTCAACGAACGAAGACAGAAGGTGATTTAATCTAAGACGCCTTGATGCATTTTATAGCACCAAACATTTGCATGGTAAAGCAATCAACTTTGCTAAATTCTTTGAGCGAGAATGACATTTAAAATGCCCAATGAATGGAACAATTACCCTCTTGGGTTAAATTGTTGGTTCACGGACTTTCATCATCCATTCAAAGACCACTACGAACACCACTACGATTAATTTGGTTTTACTCTTACGAAACTCATTTGAAAAGCACTCTTATAGTTTTATTAATGGATCGATTGATTGATTGACTGACTGATCTGGGTAGGTTGCTGAAAAAGAGGCTGTACGTGCAAAAGCTGAAGAGGAAGCCCAAGCGAAAAGAAAAATTGCGAATGCAGAGAGAAAAGCAACTAAGAAAATGGAACAGAAAAAGGCCAAGTTTGAAATGAGGAAGAGAAAGGTAATGTCATGTTTTGACCCATTGCCTGTCTGGTTTTCAAAACGTTAGTCAGAGCTGCGCGTCTAGAATAAAATCTTCATAATCTTTATATTTATTTTATTGGGGAGGCGACATGAGATTATGTATGCTGTGCATTTGTTTTTACTGTCAGGCCAATGACCAACCTACTCCTGGAGACAAAACTCAGAAAATGACAGATAATACACAAGATTCGGGAGAACCAGTGGCTAAAAAGCCCCACGGTACGTTTTATATATCTTCTGACGCCCGTCTAAATGGGAAAATTCCAATACCCCTTTTCTCTACCTGCACACAGATCTTTTCTCTTCCCCTCAACTTCTTCCTCCACCAAAATAAAACTTTGATTCTCTTAGTTCTTCCAAAGTAAGAGAGGGTTCTTGGTTAACCCTTTCAACAGAAATATTCCCATTTGCCCATGGTAAGACTTCCATGTTCACTCTTTTTTTCAAAGCGGGGTAAGATTCCCTTGCCTCCTTCTCCTTTCTCCCACATGTAGATTCGGATGCGATTTCTACTCTATCTTCTTCGTAAGGAATTTACTTACCACTACCTCATTCTCGAAAGGAATATTTCAAATTTGCTTTCCCCTTGTTAAGTTCTGAGCTTTCATCCATACCCCCTCACTTTCGACACATGTGGCTTCGAGTCTGTTTTCGTCTAAAAGTCTGACAGTATGGTTCAGACTTCCCTTTTCTGAATCGTCTGTAAGACACAGAACCCTTTCAGCACAGTTTGTGTTTGTTTTCTGGTCCTCTCAAGAAAAGTGATCTTTTGACGTAGTTTACCTGTACGTTTGGTTTGTTTTTTAGTTGAGAATGAAAGTGAAAATCTCTCGTCTACTCAATCGACGCCAGCAGGAGAACCATCTACGAAAATTTCACATGACAGGTTAGTGCTTAGTTTAAATAGGCTCTCATTAATAGCGCTACAGGACGCGCGTTTCTCCGACCGCGAGAAGATTTAAGATGAGTCAGGGAAATGTTGCTCGGGAGTGGCACTAATAATGAGGTATCAGTGCTAGATCCCTTGCAGATATCTCCCGACTCTCGTTGATCGCGGGTGAAGAAACAATGGTGCCGAAGCGCTAACAATTAGCGCAAGTTCGCTTGTTATGCATACTTACTCCTCAATTTAGTCGTTTTTAATGAAGGTTTGGATATTAATTCGATGCCAAAATTTCTTCTGCTTAAAAAAGTATATCTTTCCCGCGCACAGAGAATATGCTATTTATATCTGTGTGAAGGTATCAATGTCACAGTGGTAACCTGGTATGGAACAATTTTCTATTGAGTGTCGTAAGTAATCCGCAATTGCATTGGTTTTGCTTTACTTGCTCTGTAATTGGTCCAAAAGACTCGCGCTACTTTCTCAACCAATCACGGTTGAACCAATGTAACTTATGCATTACCATTTGAATACTTTAAAACTAAGGTACAGAGAGCTCATGAAAAGAAAGGCTGCGATTAAGGCTGGAATGAAAGAGAATAGATCAGTTCCGTTTTACCTCTTGACCTTGACTTTAAATTAATTCATTTTCCAGCACAAAGGATCCGAAAACAGTATTCGTTAGTAACCTTTTGTTTTCAGTTGACGAGGAACGGCTCAAGCAGACTTTCTCACCGGTAGGTTTATGTTCTTTGTTGTGTTGGTATAGAATTGCCAAGTGCTACTATCAGCGAAGGTTTAGTCTTTTTAGCCTTTCACGCAGGTCGAGCGAAGACGGACGCGAGGCGAGCATGAAGGGCTCATCACGCATTCCCTCTTTCGCGTGTAACTTGCGCTTTGCGCTCGCCCCGCGCTTGCTTCCGCTCTTCCTGAAAAACGCCAGAACCAGCGCCTTTTCTGCAAGCTAATTAAAGACAAGTTGGTCGGATCTTTCGTAATCTTTTAACCAGTTTTATTATTGAAACTTCACGCAATGTACTAATTCCTGAAATCTTAATTTCCGACGTGAATGCGTGAAAGGTCAAAAAATGATTGATTTATATGCGTTGATACCTTCTCTTCCCTTTTCTGTACATCTTGTGAAGTTTTAACGGCAACAATCCATTATTTTCACTTTGATCTTTTAACATTATTGCCATTCTAGTTGTTTTATGGAAAGTCCTTAACACTAGAGACTTTTTGGTCATGAATTAACAGCAAATAGATGCTCTTTTTTGCTATAGAGTACATTAAGTAGAGTGGTACTTGAACTTCTTGTTTACTGCGATGTTACAGTAGGTTTGTTTGTAAGAACATATATATAGTGGGTATGCAATTAGTGGTGTTTTACACTTTGTTTTGGTCCCAGCTTGGCGACATAACCGAAGTAAGGCTTGTCAAAAACCAGATGGGGAAATCAAAAGGATTCGCTTACATCGAGTTTAAGAACCAGGTGAGAGGAAAGCAATATTGTTGTGTCTCTAAATCCTTTAACCTCTGAGGGTGACTAGCATCTAATTTCTCACTATGTTATTACTGCTGAATCAACTATTGAGGTTATGGGAATTACGAAAATGATCGCAAAACTTGAGAAGCTCCTGATTTTTAACTCAACATCCCCTGTCAGTGCCATAGGAAATGTCTAGGAAACAGTATGGAGAATATACACCCTGATGTAGGGGTGTGCAGGATTTATACGATGAAATTGTAATTTGTTTTGCTGCTCACCGAGTACATAGTTATCAATAAAGCATCGTTTCCTTGTTGCTCATTTGGGGAAAGGGATCTTTAAGTTGCATGGAACCCTTTACGGTGACAGTTCCATACCTTTACATGGTTCTTCTGTTGATGTTTCAATTTAGGCCTCGGTACAAGCTGCCCTGTCCATGGACAGGACAAAGTTAAATGGAAGACCGATGTTTGTTTCGCCTTCGGTGGACAAATCTAAGAATCCAACGCAATTTAAGGTTAGTATGAGGTTTTTTTCCTTTATCCTCTCCATGCACCGCCAAAGTAAGATCGGTAACGAGATTTTTATACTGCATTTTGAAATTTGATTTGCCTTTGTGTCTCTGGCCTCCAGATGTTCCGTTATTTGTTTTTACTTGAGCCATTACGAATATCTAATCTAAAACAGTTTTGATCTTCTCAAAGATACGATTTATAATTTGTTGCCTCCTTCTATTGACAGTTTCCTACGACTCTCGACAAGAAAACATTGTTTGTGTCCAATCTTCCTTTCGAAGTTAAAGAGTCAGAGTTGGAGAATCTGTTCGAAAAGGTAATGTTTCATGATGTCCTTGTTTAATTTCTTGTTGTTTGTGTTATTAGTGCCTCTTTGCAAAGTAAGGTCTAGAATTTGTCCATGATGTTTCTCCGTTATTCCCGCTTGTCTCTTGCAAATGTTTTCCTAGCGACTCATAATTAAGGGTGCTTCCTAACTTGATCTCACTTTTCAAAAAGAACATCCGATACAAAGGTTTGGGCCTAGTACTAAAAAATTTGTCGATCGAACCCTTATCTTTGATGTCTCATTCCAGTATGGAAAAGTGAAGCAAATTCGTCTGGTGACTAACAGAGCTGGTAAACCGAAAGGATTTGGTTACGTAGAGTTAGAAGATGAGGTGAGTAGATATGTTGTTTACGTTTCCAACGGCCTCTCAGTAGGTTTTCAACTTACTTATGGTCGTGTACTTGTCAATGTTCAAAATTACAATGTCCTCGGTTTCAGGGTTTTAGATTTTGTTTGCGTTAGGTTTGAGCAAAGAACTTATGCGCACGTATGTGCGTAAGGCAAACGGTTACTTTGAAGTTGGTGGCATTTCGAAAGGCACGACGTAGTCAGTCTAAAAAGTTAACTACGTTCTTCGCTACCATATTGGAGTTGAAAGTGATAACAGCTTGAGACAAGCAATAACAGTTGTTACTTCTTGTACTTTACCACGACTAACAAACTTATTGAATAATTTGACTTTTTGCTTAACTTTCGAATTTTTTGTTCCAAGTTATAGAAAACGCACGCTGTCACTGTTGTAGAGTATCAGGCAAAATCTAGGTTTTATGAAGTATTAAATTTTACCATGCGAAGGTTAAAAGGTGAAGCATTGAGAAGTAAAAATAAAGCAGGTGGCATTTTATATGGCATTTAATATGGAATATGGCACGTGATGGTGATATATCATTGAAATTTTTGTCAACAGACAGGAGCATCAGCGGCCATTGTAGCTTTGGACGGAAGCCAGGTCGGAGACAGGCAGATTTCAGTTGCTGTGTCAAATCCACCCAGCAGAAAACCCAGGCAGCCCGGGGCCGACCAACAGCAAAGACAGAAAGAACAGCCGGGAAGGTATGCACGCTTGAATGTTTCTGAATCACAACCCACTGTCTTGTTTACCTGCTCCTGGCAACAGCTTGAAGTGATGTGTTGAAGTGTTATGCTTTACTTTTTTTCTGCACTTTCTTTGTTTGTTTGTTGATGCTGTTTGGGGCTCTCAAATATGTGGGGATGAATGGTAGGGAAAGTTTGTTATTAAACTAGTCATAATATTATCATAATGATTTGGTTTTATCAACTGAGTTGATAAGGTTAATTGGCCACCGTAAAAAGTTTTCCAATGATATTTCGAGCGGTAGCTATAAATGTCAGCTTTAGAAACTCTTTACGGTGGCCAATTTACATCATCAACTCAGTAGATGAAACCAAGTTATCTTTTGACGCAGCATCAAAGTACTACATCACTTAACCTTTACATTCAAAACGTTATCATGTTGATTTACTAGAATCAGTTTTGATGATACCAAAAAGTTGTCTGTGAAAATCTTATCTAACAATTCTTTACTTAATAATGTTAGTATATTCCCAAAACGAAAGTTGACATTTACGTATTTCGAGATTGAATGTTTCAGGGGCCTCTCCGTGGGTTATCAGAGACAGAGCACGTATATGTGTCATGAAGAAATCTTCTTTCAAAAAACAAAAAAAAAATTTCCTTCCCTTATTTCGTTTCAGTCGTGGCCGAGCAAGAACCCAGCTGCAACTCATCCCCAGGGCACTGCAGAAGACTGCGTCCACTGCACCAGCTTCTTCGTCAGATAACTCAACCGTATTGAGCGAAGAAAAGACCGAAGCCAAACCTGGCGCTGAAGTTAACCAAGGTTTTAGTAATGAGTATTTTAGAAGCCTTTTGCAGAAGAAGAATTAAGTTTGTTGAAGAGTAACAGAATACTGTTTTAACTGAACAATTTGCTTACAAAGGGCAAAAAAAAAAAGAAAAAGGCAACAGTTATTAATGTCATGTTTTGTTATGGTTAAAAGAAAAACGCGAAGTAGAGATTGTTTTGGGTTTGCGAACAACATTTACGAGGAGGCTTTTAAAGAGCTTTATAACTTGTCATCTTATAAACGTCCATTTGAAACATTGTTATTTATTTGTTACTACGGCTGGCATAGTATGCATGGTGGACGTTAACGGAAAACGGCAAACAGCAAAAAAACTTCTCCCACCGTCTGCCGTCTGTACACTTATGTGAACATACTTACATTGCTTGTGAACAAGAGAACCTTGGTCATTTTTGTATTGAAGGTATTGACGATTTTGAGGCAAAATGAGTTACATCAGAATTAAATCAGAGTTGATATTTGCGGTTTGCTGTTTCCGTAAACATTATGCTTAACCTCGCTATATCAGTAATACTGATTGACTGATTGTCATAATGTCTCTAACAGGTGAACCTTAAGTTGTAACAAACTCGTCATTAGCATGTTAAATACAGAGAATCCAAAATGAATGCGTCTTCCTCGTGGTATTTCCAAAGTAGTGAAACTACGACCCGAAGCGGTATTATTGCTTGCAACAAATAGTGTGAACCTTGCTTTTCCCGCGATAAGGTGCACCCGTGTAGGACTGAGTATTTGTCGCACAGGTCTCCACTGGGTTTGCCCTCCCCCCTTCCCCCTTCATACAAAATCAGGTGTTCTTACATGACGCAAGACTAAAAATTTTTTGTTACCTCCCCCCCCTCCCCCCTTTTAGTATTTCTTTCAAGTTTAACACGTAGTGACCCGTTTTGGAAACAACTTCCGATCCGTCAGGAGCCCATCTCCTGCTTTCGTGTTCTTCTCTTCTTTTTGCATGGCGGCTCAAAGCAACAGGTTTACTTTTTCATGATTAAGCAACAAAGCCACAGGTAACTTTTAAAACTTTCTTGATTGCGCACTTTAGGGCGTGTCCGCTGCCATCATGGAGCACTCCCCTGCTAAGTTCTAAGAACACAGCCCGTGTAGGTCGAGGTTTTGAGTCACGCTCAGTCTGGTTAGTGCGTAACACTACGTGTCTATTAATCAACCTTCAAAGGAGTGTAAAGGGGCCCAAACGGTATTGTCTCTTGTTTTTTCTATACTACAACTGTAAAATTTCTCTCGTGCCTGTTATCTTTTTTTTTTTTCTTTCCATAATTGGACAGACATAAACTACGTCACTGTGCGCGGATCTTCCCACAATTTCACCGAAATTGCATGGTAGCATTCTTAGCTCTGGATAAGGCAGGCTGACATGGGGTTTACAAAACGTAATTCATTAACAGTCGTTCCACATGGAAGCTGACTGATATTCACACTGCTAAGGAATCATTGTATGTCACGTATATTCAAGGCAATTCAAACTTATAAACTTCGAGTGATTGCCACAAATAGAAAAGCAAACTAGCTATTAGAACAACGAAAAAGCTTAGTCTGTCATGAAAATTCAATTGTCAGTGTTGTTACTTCATGAATAGTTTTGTCAGAACATGAAATCAAATGCTAATACGGGATCCTTCAGTACTTCTTTTAAAACACTTTTGAACCTGTTGTTTTAGCAGCTTACTTAAGGGGGTCGAGAGGTAGCATCAGAGAGCATTTGGCATTTATAAACATAAGATATCAAACTTTCCAGTTTTCCCATCGAATTCTCTTCCAGGTTTTGGGGCTCAGTGGGTAGAGTAGGCGATCGTAGGAACAGTCCTAGCGAGGCTTCAAATCCCGGTGTGGGGAGCTTAAAATTTCCTGTCCATGTGAGGAAAGTTTCCCACAGCCTCGTAGGTAGAGCGTTACACTGCATAAGTGTTCCCAGTTAGGGCGCAGATCCTATCCTAGGGAACTTGCCAATTTGTTTCTCTCTCTCATCTTATACCCGCTGATTAATGGTCTGGATTGTCTTTTTATATCAATATCTTCCTGATTTTGGTATATTAGAAAAAAGTTTTTCTTCCTTTATTAGCAAGTTTACCCTTTTCTTACACTCTTAAATTAAGGATATGCATCGAAACGCTGCTGAATTTGAACGTTATTAAATCAAACAAAGAAAAACACTTCTTCCTCGGAATGTTTGTGCATTTGATCCATGCAGTATGTGCTCCTCTTGTACCATATAGTCTTAAAATTTACTCTCCATTCATGGCAAGTTCCCCGCAGCTCAGTGGGTAGAGTATTGTACCGCGTAAGCGGTCCCAGTCAGGATGGAGATCCTGTTCCGGGGGACTTGCCGTTTTTTTGTGTGTGTGTTTTTTTAAATTACTTTTTCATGATTTTTTTTTCTAAGATTCGTTTCCTCTCTTATTTTAAACCAAGATTAGAAATAATCTGGAGTGTCTTTGTATACTTGTCTTTTTACTTCAATACATTAGAGAAGGCTTCTTTCCTCTTATTGGCAAGGTTTCCCTTTTCCTACACTCTTGAATTCGGGTCATGCATAGGGACTTGACTGAATTTGAACATTCGTAAATCAAACAACAAAGTTTTTGTAGTAAAGTCATTTTAGGGTCAAAACACTTTTTCTACAGACTCTTTATACACTTGTTCTTTGCAGTATGAACTCAAGATGTTACATATAACTTTAAAATTTGCTCTCCATCCATGGCAAGTTCCCCGCAGCTCAGTGGGTAGAGCATTGTACCGCGAAAGCGGTCCCAGTCAGGATGGAGATCCTGTTCCGGGGAACTTGCCGTTTTTTTCATTGCTTTTTTTTTTATCTTTTTTTTTCCTTGAAGATTCGTTTCCTTTCTTATTTTATATCAAAATATGAAATAATGTGGAGTGTCTTTGCATACTCGCCTTTTTTACTTCAATACATTAGAGAAGGCATCGTTCCACTTCTTGGCAAGGTTAGCCTTCTCCTACACTCTTAAACTCAGGGCGCGCATAGGAACGCTGCTGAATTTGAATGTTTTTAAATCGAACAACAACGCCTTTGTAGAAAAGTTATTCTAGGGTCAAAACACTTCTTCTAGAAAATCTTTGTTCACTTGTTCCAAGCAGTATGAATCCAAATTGTTACATATAATCTTAAAATTTGCTCGTTTTTTTCTTTTTTTACTTTTTCAAGATTTTTTTCGGAAGATTCGTTTCCTGTCCTATTTTAAACCAAGATTAGAAATAATTTGTGGTGTCTTTTTATTTATGCTCTTCTTTTAAATTCAATACATAAGAGAAGGTTTCGTTCCACTTATTGGCAAGGTTACCTTTTTCCTACAGTCTTAAATTCAGGACACGCATAGGAACGCTGCTAAATTTGAACATTTTCAAAGTTTTTGTAGTAAAGATGTTTTAGGGTCAAAACACTTCTTGTAAAGAATCTTTGTTCCCTTGTTCCTTGCTGTATGAACTGAACTTGTTACACATAATCTTAAAATTTACACTCCCTTCATGGCAAGTTCCCCGCAGCTCAGTGGGTAGAGCATTGTACCGCGAAAGCGGTCCCAGTCAGGATGGAGATCCTGTTCCGGGGAACTTGCCGTTTTTTGTTTTTTTTATTTTTATAGTTTTTTTAACGTTCTTTTTGGAAGGTTCTTTTCTTTTCCGAGTTTGCACGAAAATCAAAAATAATGTAAAGTGTCTCCGTATACCCGTCTTTTTACTTCATTACATTAGCAAAGGTTTTCTTCCACTTACTGGCAAGTTTACCCTTTTCCTACACTTCTAAATTAGGGACATGCATCGGAATGCTGCTAAAATCGGAATGTTATTAAATTAAACATTTTTTTTTTGTAGGAAAATCGTTTTATAGTCCAACCACTCAGCGTTCCACGGAATGTTTGTGCACTTGATCCATGCAGTACTTACTCCTCTTGTACCATATAGTCTTAAAATTTACTCTCCATTCATGGCAAGTTCCCCGCAGCTCAGTGGGTAGAGCATTGTACCGCGAAAGCGGTCCCAGTCAGGATGGAGATCCTGTTCCGGGGAACTTGCCGTTTTTTGTTACGATTCTTTTTTATCATTTTTTTTTCTCTAATCTATTTTTACAGATATATTCTTCTGAGTTTAGTGAACTCCTACGTTAGATGTCATCCTCATATCTAGTTTATCTTTTTTAAACACTCAATTGCATTTTTTTTTTAAGAACACGAGGGACCGAGTAAAAGTAAGAAGCACGTGATATGGAGTCAGCAATGGAATTAATTCAGTGGAGGTTTCGCAGACGTCCTATAGGGGGCCTGGAAACAAAAATCTTGTCATATTGGTGACGTAGTTATCCGTGATTGGCTTGTTTCCATAATTGTAATTCATAGCAAATTGTAAGGTTTTCTCAAACCAAACAGATCGTGGACGGGCGAGGACGTGTTACTGTGAGAATATTTCGTACCAGAAACGTGCTTGATGTTGGAACAGGTGTGGAGCTTAAAAGTTGTCTTAAGGTGGGTTTTGCTCTTGTAAGGTTCAATTCAATGCCCTTTTTAAAGGAGTAAACTGCAAGGTTAGTGAAGAACACGCTTTCGGTTCGCCTTTGACACGGTGCTTATCTCTCAAAGACTGGCACTCATTTCGTTCATGAAGTAGAAGAACTAAACGTTATTTCTGTTTTACTCATGCAGCTAAGTGCGTTTGAAGTTGTGTTGTAACTGTATTTTTAAAGTAACCTTCGTGTTGCTACTTAGAGTATCGCTCGTACGTGTTACGTTCTGGAAGCTCGCTACTCTTGCCCTAGCATATGCAGATATAACTTGTCAAACGACTTAAAATTGTCTTTCTCATTTCTTTTTACAGATGACCACGTTTGTGAAGAAGACAACAGAAAAAAGAATTAAAGAGGACAAACTGGAATAACTGAATCAAGAGGATAATCTGCCAAGATAAGAACTTTATAACGTTAGCTTAAAGTTGTGTTGAAAATGGTGGCTGTCTCTTATTCTAAAGTTGAAACGAAACTTCAATGAAATAAGTTTAAAATAGAACTGATGATTATGAGGAAAGACTCAGTTTAAAAAGAAAAAAAACCAGCGAGGGAGAAGTAAGAGTGCAGTTCAGTTGAAAACTCAGTCATACGCGACGATGGCAGCCACCAATTGAGTGATTTTTAAGATGGCACTGAGAGACAAACGATATTCTGAAGCTCAGAATGTTACAAAAAAAGCAAAGATCGTCCTTTTATAATACTAACAGCGGCCAAATAATCATTCAAACGTTTGCGCCGCATATATCAATGCAACATTTCGCCATACTCGGCATAAAATTGTCTTGGTTTTCGAAATATTTTGTGTTGAAAATGTTTAAATTTCTAAACGAATAATCTGGTTAAAACTTTGTCAGTGCCACCTTGAAATTTTCACACATTTTATTAATTAATGCTGCAATGGACACGAGAACAATGGCAACCAAAAAGTACAATGAAAAAAAGCAAAAGCTTTTTTTTTTGCTTTTGCTGGGATGACAATACTTTGACCGCCGCACACAATGACAAATGTGACG